GACGAATACTCAAAATTGTTATTGCTAAATTTTGCATTTGTAAATGTTAACATTTTAACGGTTAGTTCCCAACCATGGGTCAAATGGAATCCTATACATAAATCGGTTAATAAAAGAATAAAAAAAACTTGGGCAAGAATAGAACTGGGTGACCTCCTAGGAAGTTCTCGTGTTGCATCTCTTTTTTATTTTTTGCTATTAATTTATTTTATTTTTTGGCATATCTGTTATTCTTCGATCTCCACCTCGACTCGATGATCTTGTCCCAAAATTATGTGATATTGATCGATGAACTTTTTTGTACCTATTTTATGATGATAACAGTAAATTCGACTTGACCTTCTCGATTCGCTCCAATTGAGGTCAACTTCAGCCTCAACATTTATATAGAAGTTGATCACAGTTAACATCACAAGTGCGATCATACCAGCACTAATGCACCAGATCTTGGGTAACCTCCGCTAATGAACCAACGTGTGCTAAGTGGTGCATTTCTTATAGTGTATCTATTATACTAAAAATATTGCTTTTTTAAAAACATCAATTTAAAAAAAAAAACTTAAATTATCATAACTAATTTTACAATTTATTATTATTATTATTATTATTCCTATCATTTATACCATCTTTTTATCTCCTTCATAACATTAAACCTTATATTTATTTATTATCTTAACTAAAATTAATCAAATAAACAACATAATACATATAAATATATGAACGGTAATAAATATTCTTAAATAAAAAAATATTAGACAAAAAAATTATTATAACAATTTTATGCTTCCGTTGAAAATTGAATGTAATTAATTTCAATGAAAAAGAAATACTAAACTTATCTACCAAATAACAAATTTACAAACTCTCTACAAAATAAATGACTAAGAATGCAAATAAATTTTATAAACACGACAATTATTACGAATGAATTCTATGAACGTGGCGAATTAAAATTATTTAATTTATGAATAAAAATATTATTCAATTCTGTTTCATAAGAATAGTTAAATTACATTATGAATAAAAATATTATTAAAAATAACTTGATTACATTATTATTTTTATACATTTAAAATTAATCCTAAAAATTAATTTAAATAAAATAGTTTGATACATTAATTTTTTAATATATATTTTAGAGTAAATGTTTAAAAGTATTAAATATTATATTAAATGCTTTAAATTATCATAAAGTATGTATTGAATATTTTTATAGTTTTGAGATAATAAATTTTTTTTAATAAAAAGATATTTTTAATTGGTTAATATAATTGAACACATAATAATATAAAAAAAACATTGATATATTACTTGGCTGTAATCTCTCTCTACAGAGAAATTAGAAAAAGAAAGTTGAGGACGAAACATGGTCAACGACGACGCTTTATTGAAGTTAACGTGCCCTACAGGTCAGGTCATTTATTAATTTCCTACATTCTTTTATTTTAATTTAATTTTTTTTATGCTGCAGAGAACTCAAAAACCTAAAATTCCGTCATTTTTTTTCATTTAAATTTTTTGAAGAAATAAAATGTCATCAGTTAAAACATAAAATCGCATAGTTTGGTAGCCATAGTTTGACCTTTACAATGTAAACAATCCAAGTTTGGTACCTTTCTTTTTCTTTTTCCTTTTCCTTTTCCTTTTCATCTTCTTTTTTTCTTTATTTGGTTTATGGGTAGTTCTTGTCGTTGACATATTCTTGTTCTAGCTATTTCTGTTCTAAGGTTTTATACTATTCATCAAGGGAAAAAGAGGCATATTCTGAGGTTAATGAGAATGCTTTATGTCCCTTTGTGTACAAATGTTTGATTCCATTGTCCATATTACGGCTCAAGCTTTCTCATTCTCTGCTTACAAATTCTTATTGCTAACATTAATTTTAGATATAGATTAAATTTTTAATATATTTGGTCAGATAAATGAGCATTTCCAACTTATTTAACTAGATTTATATTATACTTGTTAATTAAAATTTTTAAAAAGCATAAAAATCATAATAAACTAACAATTTAACACTGTTATTTGACATAAATTACAACAGTTTAATTAATATGAAGGAAGAGTAACATATATTCATACTCAGTTTTAATTGATAATTTGATTCATTGTTTATGGTTTGCATTCTCACTGGAGTCTAACAGATAAGGATCAGCAAATTGTCAAACATTAATTAAATATGTTTTGCTTTGTCCTTCCCTTAAAAACAAAACAAAATGAAAACCCTGAAATGGTCCAGAATTTCGTCCCTCAACTCCAATGATAGACACGTGTTGTCTTATGGTTACGCAAATAAACAAGTACTAAAATAGTCAAAGGATCCCTGTTCACAAGAAAGGAATTTTAATCATAGTATCACACGGTTTCTTAATGTTTTATTTAGATTCCATTAAATAGGAAATATAAAAAAATTATATTACTCAATTAAGTTTAAATAAAATTTGCTTTGTAATTAACTAGTACTTTGAGGTTTAGATAATACATTTTAATTCCATAAGATTTTTAATATATACATGATATTTTTTTGTAATCTCTTTTTTTTCATTAAAAAGTTAAAATTTAACCACGTGATAAGCATGTGACTATTTTTTTGAAAAAATTATCTCTAAGAAAGAAGCAAATCATTATTTCCATAGAATAGTGCATTTGTATTTTTTATTTTTAAATTAACAAAAATCATTATGGGACTGAAATGCAACTTATTTTATTGTATATCTTTTTCACTCATATATCTCCCTCGTTCATCCCTTTTTCTGCTTACTTTTCACTCAAATTTTTTAATATATAATAAATCGTATTCACCCAAAACTGAGAATTCTAATCTGTATTTGATGTGAATTATACTAATCTCTCTATTTTGTCCACTTTTAATGGGTCATAATTAAGATGTTTCAACACGTAAAGTGTACGTAATCTTGCCAACATCATTAAACCTCTCGCAAAAGTCGGAGAAAAACGACGCTTTGCTGTAGTTAATCTTCCGTGCATCCCTGAAACGCTGCTATTTTCGTATATGCTATTCTTTCTTTGTCAATCCATGCAATGTAAACTATTAAGAGGATGGGTAAATACAAAATTAATTATTATTATTATTTATTTGTTCCCTTAAATATTAAGATATTAACTTATTAATATTTTAATGGGTTTTGTGGAAAAATTATTTCCTTAAAATACTAGTACGTCACTTCATTAAGTTCTAAAAAAAATTATCATCAATTTTTTTTTAATTTTAAAATATTATTACATTCATCTATATATAAAACTAAAGTGATAATATAAAAACATAATTTTAATAAATATTACATTATTTTTAAAGATTGATACAATAACAAAATTTTAAAAGGTAAAGTCATCAGGAATACTTAATAATTTAAGAGATCAATTAATTGTCATATGTTTTTTTCAGAAAAAAAAATCGGGATTTTAAACTTATTATCAATGCTGATCAAAATTCCCACTTTGAAAATTCTAATTATTAAATATGTCAGTTATATATTTTTTTCAAGAATTATTTGTTTTTTATACAGTGACATTACTCGTCTTGTGAGACCGATGAATTAATCTTTTACATTTCTAGAATGTCTTTGACTCACATTTGATATCAATTCCAGATGAGATATTTAAAGGTATATTTATCCCTAAAAAGCATCTGCTCTTATTTATAAACGCTTTTGTCTCGTTTGAACTTTCAGCTGTGAAAATATACATCAAATTCTTAAATGAAAAAAATTTAACCATTTTAGGAAATTTTGACTAAATCCGAATTTTTTTTCACAAAATAAATTAATCTAAACATGTGTAAACTAAGTTTTTATAAAGAATATTGTAACTTTATTTAAACTGGATAAGTTTCAATACAATATTATAAAATTAATTAAATTTATTCTCAAAAGGTATCTTAAAATAAAAAATTAACCAAATTTTATAAGGAATACATTGACTGAGTTGTCAAGACATCTTAAGAAAATAAAATGTTATTTTGTGGACAGAGGGAGTCCTACCAGTGGCACATTTATTGAAGTGGTTAAGAAGTGAGGGAATTCTCAAACTTGTGCAGGTGAAACTTTTAATGCATATATGTACGACATTCAAAAAATTCATAGACTAACATGCATGGAACCTTCATTCAATAATTGACTATCAATACATTATTTGATACACAGGCAATTCGTATTAATTGTCTTAAAAATTACTGTCAACGAGTTAAATCTAAAAATTAAACGATTGAATATAAATAATTTTTCATTAGATGTTATAGTTTTTATTAATATTTTTCTAGATTCTGTAACAAGTATGTTAAAAATGATGATGTGCAGGATCCACAAATATTTTTTTAGCATGACTATAAAGTTTCGTAAATATTTAACAATAAACATTAAGTAATTAAGAAGCAAGTTAAGAAAACAAAGTTGAAACATTTTTATTTAGAAAAAAAGATTGTTATTTACGTCAAAAATATAAAATTTAAATACTAAAAAGTAACTTTTTTAATTAAAAAACCACATTTATTATAGAGAAAGAACATCCTTGTTTTAAATATATTTTTGCTTTCTACATATTTGTAATTCTTCAATTTGATTTTTAATTTTTCTAAAAATTCAAAATTTCTTATTTTGATAATTATTAAATGATGATGTGAGTAATTTTAAAATTATCAAATACCAATATTTTGGAATCACATCAACAAAATATATCAAAATTAAATTGTAAGAATTAAAATAGACGAAATAAAAAATTATTGAAAAACTTACATCTAACCCTTTTAAATAATTAAAAAATGAATATAATATATTTAACATGGTGCATTAATTAGCAGGACCGTACTTGATAGTAGTAATTAGAGTGCCTAATAATTCCTCCAGCATCAATTTCACTTCCCCACCAAATCACCGCCAATCTATATAAATCTCACAAAGGGCACTGTCACAAACAAACCCATATTTATTTCCTGTATCGTACTTAGGTTCTCTGCAACCTCTCTTTTTTCTATCTTCTCCTGTACTTACCCTTTTGCTCACTCATAGTTAACACACCAAGCCATGGTACAAGCAAAGAAGTTCAGAGGAGTAAGGCAGCGCCAGTGGGGCTCATGGGTGTCAGAAATTCGTCACCCATTACTGTAATTACCTCATCCATCTCTATGGTTTATACTCAATACTGATGCAAATTTTATGTACACTGTTGCTACTTTAATATTTAATCTCACATGGACATGCATACACACGTATATACTAAATAATAGTCATTAGTCTTGCCTCCATTGGTTTGTCTAGCAAAAATAAAATTATTAATTAGTAACGATATAACAAGTTGGTAATAACATTATGATGTATTATATTTCAAATAAGTTTGTTGGTACTAGAGCTTAATACATATACCATTAACATATATATTATTAATATAGACTTACAACTTAAAATATTAGTCATTGTCTTTAAAATACTAATTAAAATATTAAAAGTGAATTATTTATTGTACAGGAAGAGAAGGATATGGCTAGGTACATTTGAGACAGCTGAGGCAGCAGCAAGGGCATATGATCAAGCAGCCATTTTAATGAGTGGTCAAAATGCCAAAACCAATTTCCCTGCACCAATGAATCAACCTCAAAGTGCTGCTACTGCTACTACTACCTCTTGTGTAGACTCATTTTTACCTCACAATGCTCTTTCTGAGCTACTAAGCAGAAAGCTCAAAAAGTGTTGCAAAGACCCTTCTCCATCCCTCACTTGTCTGAGGCTAGATTCTGACAATTCCCACATTGGAGTGTGGCAAAAAGGAGCAGGACCACATTCAGACTCTAATTGGATCATAAGGGTGGAGCTTGGAAAGAAGCATGCAGAAGGTGAGTCTAGTGTGTCAACAGGTTCACCACAAAACAGTGCTAGTGTTGGTGATGGTTATGCTGGAAATGAAGAGGACAGAGTTGCCATGCAAATGATTGATGAACTACTTAATTGGAACAATCCCTGTGGTTCAAGTAATTAACACTTTGGAAGATAAAAACAAATGCCAAATTAGAAAGTAACATTTCATGTCATAGTTCTTGAATTAGTGTATGTCCATTTTCTTCTATCTTTTTCATATGTATTTTTTTGTCTTATGTAAAACTGATGGTAAATGGACACTTATACTGCTTTCTAATATCAATACAATATACACTATTGTGACTGTTAGAATGTATAAAAATATTAGATAATATATATCTTGTTTATATTTTAAAATATAGTTTATAACTAGTCTTTTTTTAATTCATTGGTTTTCTTATATTCTTATCACTTTATAATGTATTTTTATTTAATTAGTATTGTCAATATAAATAAAAGATTGAAGCTTCTGTTTCATCATCAGACATGTATATTTCATAATAATATATTTCAGTTAATGTCAATTTAAAGATCCATTCTTTTTTACAATCTCGTCTTCCTTTACGTAAAAAAATTTCATTATTTCAACATAGTATCAAAGTTTATGATAAATAAATAAAAATTAAATTACATCCAAGACAAATCATGCTGCATTTAGAGACATTTAAAAAAAATAATCATAAAAAATAATTTCAGATATTTTAAAGGATTTTAACAAAGAAAAATGGTTTTTATAATCATTAAGAGAAGATACCTTTAGATATTTTAATTTTAAAAATATATAATAAAAATTAAAAAATAAATTTAACAATATTATAAATGATGTTAAATTTTAATATTTTAAATAATTAATGATTTGATTAATCCCTGTGTATTTTAATTTTGTTCACGAATTGGCGGAGCAACTAGTGGAAAACCACAAACCGCGTCCCAGCCAACGGTTACTTTAATCTTTGACTTTTTTTGTTTGGTCTGCACTCTACACAGACGTTGACCTGACAGGTAAATTCTCAATAACATATTGGCCAGGCACAGACCCAATTTAACGTAAAATCAAAATTGAATTGAAACTTAAAGAATTAAATAATTCAAAATTATCAAATATTTAAAATTGAAATTTTTTTATGAAATTGATAATTTTTACTATATATATATACATATCAATTTATTTATTAAATTGCCATCGTTAAAAAATTTAATGTTATTTTGAATGATAATTTATAATTTAGATTCATGGTTTATCATCTATAGGAAACAATTCTTTGTACTATAATTTTTTTTACATACATATTTATGAATTTAGAAAGTTCATAAATATTTTTAATATTTTTTTACCTTATAAATGTAAATAAAAAATAAAAAATGCATAGTGATTATTTTTTATTTTTTTCATCGGTACCTTTAATGTACATAGTTAATATTTTTCATCGGTACCTTTCATGAATTGGAATTAGATATTTAACTTGAGATAAATGTTATATATAATAATATTAATAACACACTTTTTATAAGACTATTTATTGAAAATTACTTGCATGCAAAACTAAACTAAACTAAACAAGAAAAGCAGTGGTTGGTAATGAATAAATGGGAAGATGCAGTTACTATCTACATTTACTCATTTTCTTTATTATTGTGGAAATCAAATATGCAAGTCTTTCTCTGTGCCCTTTCATGCAAAAGTCAACTCTTTTAGTTTATTGCATTATTTGTTTTACACATTAATTAAGTTGGTGCCCTACCATGGACTCAAGCTTTCCTCAATCCTTAATAAATTCTCTCCATTGTATACGTATTGTTAAGTTGAAATAAATAATATATTATATCGTAAATTATTTTTAAATTTGACAAATTAAAAAAATATATGTATTACATGATAAGATTAAAATAAATAAATAAATAATGATAATTCAAAATTTAAACTCAATTAAATTTAAATAAGTATTTATTAAAATAATAATGATCTTACAAATTCAATTTATCTAAACAGAGATGTGTTTATTTTGATATAATTCATCCGTATTTAAAATTTATTTTTTAATATTAAATTAAAATAAATAAAATATATTTAAAAACAAAAAAATTTAAATACTCAATATATGAGAATTCATGAGACGTAATAAAGGTGAAAAATACATTTAACATTTTTTTTTAATTTATAAACAAAGTTACTCTTAAAGGGTGTTTGAATGGAAAAGTTTTTAATTTTTGTGGGAGTGTAAAATTTTGTGTGTTAAAATACTTTCTTCGGGAATACTTTTAAGAAATTTAAAATATTAAAAATTTATATAATTTAAAATTTAAAAATTACAAATTCTATTAAAAGAATAAAAAATTATTAATATATATATATATATTATTACTTTTATTCTTTTTCACTTTTTTTAACTTCTTTATTTTTAATTCAATCCTCTCTTCATTTTTTTAAGAGTCAAAGGTGATAATATTTGCAAACTTATAGTCAGAGATAAAAATAAAAAATTTTCAATAACTCAATCCAAATAAATATATTTTAGAAGAATAAAATTTTAAATGATATAATTTAAATGTCTCAAAATTATTTTTTATTTTTAATTGAATAACAAATTCAAAAAAAATTGTATCAAAAAGTAATTCTTTCAAGATAATGTTAAATTTAATTTTTTTATAAAATAAATCAAGTTTATAAAGCTTTATATAATTCAAAAATTAATTAATACTTCATCATTTTGTAATATTTAAACATATAATATTTTATTTAAAATATAAACAAATAACTATAAATAAAAGTATCATTTTATGACATTTAATAATTAGTGTCAGTTAATCTTGACTATACTCACATTATTATTTGTTTCTATAAATAATATGATGTATTATTATAATATTTGATGTTTTAATTGGTATAGTATATGGTTTTATAGTGTAAATTTAAAATATTTATATTAATAATTTAATTTTTGTTAAATAAAAGTTATATCACCAAAAATCGATTAAAATAAACTAATTTAAAATCCAATCGTTAAAATATGACTTTTTTATAGTGATTATTGGCGACAATTTTATACAAAACGAAGAACAGCCACACACATCGAACTATTTCCGAAGGAAGTGAGAAACCCAACAACATTTGTACTTGTGCTCGTGACTTGATCCTAAATATGTGGCTGTTGTTCTCTGTTTTCCTTTTGCAAGACAATGGGACAGGCCTCGAAATATTAATGAACTCATTGTCATTATTAATTAGTCCACAAAAAGAATATATAACTTTTTTCTGTTTTTTTAAAGAGAAATATTAATAATGGATATTCTTTTAAATATTTTTATTATTAATTAAAAATTATTTGAGTTTTGCTATTAATTAATAAAGTTAATATATTTTAATTAAAATTTAAATTATGTTAACATTTTTTAACTAATACAAGTAAATAAAAAATATTAAGATAAAACAGTCACACAGCATCAACGATTGCTAAAAACTGTTTAAAGTGATATATATATATATATATATATATATATGTATATATATATAATTTTAAAATCTTTTAAACAACATTATTAAAAAATTTTAATTAATAAAATTAATAAAATTTAATTTTTTTACTCGTGTAAGTTATATAACCAACTTTTCACAGAATAAATATTTATTGTTGCTGTATAAATGTATTCATTTTCTAAAGTATCTCACCTCTAAAAATTGGGAAATTGATGCGCGTAGAGTACGGTTAGATGTTAACCAGATCACTTTTTTTCATGCACAGAATAATTATATAAATTTTTATGTGACTAGTTTCATATTTAAAAAATATAAAATAATGTATTATTTTATGTATACTTTAATTTACATAGCACCATTACTTTGTTGCAACTCTTGGGTACAACAAGGTGGATTTGTATAAAAGATTGGTTAGTTAAAATGAAAGTTGAACTTAGATTATCATGTTTATCTCTTTATTTTTTTCTTTTATATACAATGTGTTACAATATTGTTTGAGTCCCCATTTGGTGAAGTGTTGGGTAGCTGCAGAAACATTCTAATGCCTTGTGAATTCGTATAGTAGAATGGTCCATACCTAGGTATATTGGTTATTGCCCTTTTGTAGGTCATGCGTTTGTTGTTATTTCTTATTCAATGGCTTCTCAATTTGTGAGTGAAATGGCCCAAGGATCAAGGAATCTTGTTTATTCTTAGACATGACAATTATGGCTTCTCAATTGTTGCTTTCGGTCGTGATGGCTTCTTAATTGATGAGACCATTGTGGAGTTGTTGGGCTTGTGTGTGGTGTTGGACCAATCCCATTGAGGGTTTTCTTGTAAATACGATCAATTATACACATGCGTGTTTTCTTGTAAATATGATCAAATATATTTTTATTTGGCCCAATTAATATTATTAATTGGGTTTAATTTTTATATTCTAGTTGAATTTTATCCGGTTGAGTCAATTAGATTTTATTGCAAAACGTAATTTATTTTTGAATTATAATATACTTTGACTTTTCTAATTTTTCGTTTAGGGCACACTTATTGGATTGGGTTTTTTTCAATCTTTATTATTATCATCGTTGTTGTTTTCTCTCCTAAAGAATCTCGTATGATTAATAATTTCAAATATATATTTCAACATAACTATTAGTTTAATCAGTTTTTAACACTGATATTTTATTACTTACTTTTTAATTCTTTCATAAAGTTATTTTCATTAGTATGTTTAGTAAAATAATTCACCCTTTACTATAAAAGTAAATAAAGGTTTATCTTACATTATACTAAGCAAGAAGATATTTATTTACGACGATATATGGTTATAAAAATTTGAAATACATTAATTTAAAAGGTTCAAACTACAAAAGTTTTGGAAACATCTACTAGAAAATACCATGTGACAATTCTAATTAAAAAAGTTTAGTATTATATGCTGATTATTTCAAACAAATTATTATAGATACGTTAAAAACTTATTTTTCAAAAGTAAAATTGTTACCAAACATTAATTACTTTATCCATGTAAACATTATTGGCTAAAGTGTTTATGGTAGATATATTTCCAACCAATGTCATTCTTTTAGTGAGGGTAACTTCTTAACAATTAATACCACAATGCATTATATACATAATCAAATGAAGAAGGTCAAATATATGCTGGCCAATCTTGTAAATGACAATGCTTTTCTATATTAGAAGCAAGCAAGCAAGGGTAGCTTTTTAACAATTAGTATCAGAATGTAATTTACATGACCAACCAAACAAGATAAACCATACGTTGGCCAACTACAAATACAAACACCAATAAGGTATGATATATAACAAAAAGTAAATATTCTATTTTAATTATTTTAGCTTATAAAATCCCCACTAGATAGAGGGTCTTCATGTCACCATTTGAAGTTTCATTTTTCCTTAAACACTAATAGCTTGTTTCATCACAAGTAACATGTCCTTAATAGCAGAAGCACCTGATTTTCTTCAAGTTTACTCTGATGGTTCAGTGAAACGCTTTAACCCTGAAATTACCTTGGCCTCTTTAGAATCATCCAATGGATACAAGTCCAAGGATGTGATTATTGACCCATCAAAACCCATCACTGGAAGACTCTTTATTCCAAATTCTTCCTTAGAGAAACTTCCTCTATTGGTTTATTTCCACGGTGGTGGTTTTTGCATTGGCTCCACAACATGGCTTGGTTACCATAACTTTCTTGGTGACTTTTCTGTCACATCACAATCCATTGTTCTTTCAGTTGATTATCGTTTGGCTCCAGAACATCGCCTTCCTATTGCTTATGAAGATTGTTACACTTCACTTGAATGGCTTGGTGATCAAGTAAGCAATGAACCCTTATTGAAACAAGCAGACACATCACGAGTTTTTCTTTCTGGGGATAGTGCTGGGGGTAATATTGCACACCATGTTGCTATTAAGGCTATTCAAAATAATGGGTGCCCTTTGAAAATTAAAGGGTTAATGCCGATACACCCTTACTTTGGTAGTGAAAAAAGGACTAAAAAAGAGATGGATGATGAAAGTATAGAGGATGTGACTATGAATGATATGTTTTGGAGACTAAGCATTCCTGAAGGATTAAATCGGGACTATTTTGGTTGTAATTTTGAGAAAGCCAACTTGTCTACAAGTGTTTGGTCTAAATTTCCCGCAGTTGAGGTTTATGTTGCTGGTAAGGATTTTTTGATGGAAAGAGGAGTTATGTATGCGGAATTTTTAAAGAAGAAAGGGGTGAAAGAGGTGAAGCTTGTGGAGGCCAAGGAAGAGCCACATATATTTCATGTATTCTATCCTGAATCTAGTGCAACTCGGTTACTCCAGAGCCAAATGAGTCAGTTCATGGGAAAATATTAGTATCAAACTATGGATATAACATGAATATATTTCTTAAATATCAATAAAAGTTTCATATTAAGATAGTTTGAAATTGTTTTAAGCGTGTATTAGAATGCTTTTTATAATCTTGAGATAATAAATATTTTTCTTCTTGGGAGATTCAAGGGATCTGCATCCAGCACTGATTTCGTTTTTGATTAAATTGGCCAAGCTGGAAGATTCGTCCCCTAAGCCCTTGCAATCACATTAGTTTCAACAAATGTTGTTGTTATGAAACTTGATTTTTCTTTTATTTTCTTGTCACTATTTATTTGATGTTGGACACTGCCGTAAAGCTAGAAAGCAGCCACAATAGTGCTGTGGTGTAATGGAAATTACTTATAACGCCATAAAAGATTCACGGCATGGTGGATCAACGATGGTGGTGCCTTGGCAAATGGTTACCTCTTTTAAAATTATTTTGGAAGATTCAATTCTTAAATTGTTTTGAAATTGAATTCAGCCTTAAAAATTGTTTGAGAGGAAAGAGAAGATGGTAAAATTTTGTTTTAAAATTTAATATATAATTTAAAATAAATAAATAAATAAAGTATATTTTCTAATTCAGTTGTTTAGAAAATCGAAGTAAAAAATATTTTTTACATTAGTTTTAAAAACAAGAGATATAGAAAATACTTTTCACATCAGTTATTTTTAAAATCAATATAAAGTCAATTTAAAATCAAATATTTTAAAGATGTTTGTTAGTGAAATAACATAATTTAGAGACGATGAATATAGCACTACGTCAGAATAGAGATCTAAAAGCGGTTTTATTTTAAATTAGAGAGTATTTAGAACTACTCAAAAATCTTACGTTATCTGATGTCTTATATTTAAGAGAGCGGTTAAACAATCCTCTCAAAAGTGAAGATTGGAGAGCAGTTTCACGCAGAACCGCTCTCCAAAATATGTGTAAGATTAGAGAGCGGTTTCACATGAAACTGCTCTCCAAAGTATAAATGCACATTGCGAATCCGAAATTTGAAATTGATTTCTTTTTGAGTTTTCGATTTGTTGTAAAGTAAAATTAATTTATTATTATGTTTAAATTAAAATCTAGAATTGATTTCTTTATAAGTTTTCTTCATTTTTATCACAAATCAAAATTGAATCTTGAGTTTATACATTTGATTTTAACTAAAAATAATCCATATAAGCATGAACAAATAAAAAAAAAAGGAACAAATTAGTAAGATGATTTTTAACGTTAATAGGGAGAAAAAAAGAAAAAAAAAAGAATGAATGATTCACTGTTAACAAAGAGAAGAAGAAAGAAAGAGAGAATGAAGAAGTACCTACAAATGTGGAAAAAAAAATATGTTAGCGCAGAAATATGAAGAGAATAATAGAGAATGAAGAGGTAATTACAGATATGGAAAAAAAACTAATTGTTAACACAAAGAAGATGAAGAAGTACCTACAGATGTGAAAAAAAAAATCAACTTGTTACTGAGAGAAGACAAAGAGAGCAGGCTAACAGGAAAAATGAAAAGAACATAAGAGAGCAAAGAAGACAAATAGAACTTACAGTAAACGAGACAAACTTTGTTAGGTAAGAAGAAGAAATGCGTTGAGCGTGTTTCATTTATAAACGACTTTAATGACTTTAGAGAGCGATTCTTTATTAATCGCTCTCCAAGAATGACTTTAGAGAGCAGTTAATAGAGAACTGCTCTCAAAAGTATAGATTTGAGAGTGGTTCTTTGTTAACCGCTCTCAGAAATATAGATTTGAGAGCAGTTAATAGAGAATCGCTCTCTAAATATATAATTACAAAGCGATTTTTATTAACTGCTGTCTAAGTTAGCGCTTCAAAAACTCATTTTTGGCATAGTGTAGACTTTTATTTACATTTTCAAGTTTGTGGTCACAATGATTTTATCTTATTTCATTTTTTATTTTCTTTTTAATTAACCTATTGTACATGAAATTGACAAATATTGCATGTTTTTCATTTATAGACTCAACAAAGATTGGTGATGTGATGAACACTATATATTGATGAATATTAACAATGAATACTATATTTTTTTTTATTAATGACACAATGAAGACTAAACCATGAGTGAATATTAATGAACATTGACACTATTAAAAAATTGTTAGTTATTAATAAATAAGAATATTTTATAGGTTGATACTATTAATGAACAAGAATACTTTCTAATTCAATTATTCATAAATGACATACAAAGTTAGAATGTTTTACATTGAATATACAACTGATTTACAAAGTACTTTTTACATCAACTATAATTGATGTTAAATATCATTTTTAATGAATGTTAAAAACTTGTTTTTGTATTAGGGGTTGGAGGCTTATTGTTAGAAATTGATATTTTTTTAAATACTTTGGATCTTATTAGATATTTTGTTTTTTTATTCATCCTTTTATATATATTTTATATTACTCATAGTAATGAAATTGAGATTAATTTATTTTCCTTCATTTAATCACCTATATCAGAAAACTCACTCCTCTATTTAGGTTTATGTTTTTAGTCACATATTTATTGGTTTTATATCATTTATGATGATAAGAATGGGTTTTTCAGATAAATAGAGGGAATGGATGTTAGAATGTATACATACTTTTATCATTTATATCTTGGTAAATGGAAGTCCAATAGAGGAGCTTGATATTGATAGAGTTTTAGGCTAGGGAGATCCATTGTCTCTTTTCTTATTCCTTATTATTGTAAAAGGTATGAAGAGCGAGTATTGGGTTTGTTCAAGGAGATTGAAAAAGGAATGAGTAATTTAATGATTCATCATCTTCAATATGCATTGAATATGCATATGATACTTTAATTTTTAAGAGGTAGTGTCGTCAAACTTGTTGGTTTTAAAGGTATTGCTGCAACTATTAGAATTGGTTTCAAGTTTTGAAAGTGAATTTTTATAAAAGTTAGATCATATGTTTAAATGTAGAGCCACATTGATTACGAATAGCAACATTGTTTTGAAAATTTCTGATTGAGAATTTCTCAATTAATTATCTTAGGACTTCTATTGGGAAAAATTATAGGAGGATATCAACTTGGTAGACAATGATTGATAAAATTGAGAATTTAGGATGGTAAGGAATTTAATTTGGGAGGGTTATGTGTTAGGGGGATAAATAATTTAATTTGGCATTGTACAGGAATCGAAGATTCTTAAGGAAAGAAAGATGTGTAATTTAGAAAGGATACATTATATAAATGCAAAAAGTTTTAGATAGGAATGGCAAAACAAGTCAACCCACTTTGTTTCGCATGACCCCATCTTAGATTCAACTTGCCCTATATCTCAAGTGACTAAAAATAAGACCTATCTTACTTTTGAGATGCGTTGATAGATTGACATATTTAAGGAAAAAAAACTAATATAATAAAAATAAAATAGGTATAATTAAATTTTAATCTAAATAATTTATTAATTTTATTAATATTAACAAAATTGACTTTTTATATTTATTAAATTTAAATATATAAAAATAAAATATATAAGAAAAATTGTAATTTTTTTTTAAAGAAAAATGTATGGAGTATATTTTTTTTTATGTCCAAAAGCTGTTTTGATTTGAAATAGTACTTTTAAATGGTTTGATTATAATTTTGTCATAACAAATATAAGTAAAAATCATTGCTTGCAATTTGCAAGTTTACCCAACATGTCCAACTCAGGAATGAACAATGCAACATGTAATACCTTCTTTTTTATTATTTATCAAATTATATTTATTTGATATTAAGTAGTGCTAGAATGCTTTTTAGAAGTGACTATAGAGAGATTTTAGAAGGATTTTGGTGCAGGAAGTCTCGCTCAGATGAGGCAAATATTGCTCAACCGAGACTGAGCACCCAGAAATATGATGTTTCAGGGCAATTTCGCTTAAGCGAGATGATTTTTGTTCAAGCGAGATAGGATAAAATTAGTTCAACTGTCACCTCGCTTAGGCAAGAGTGATTTCACTTAGGCAAAATGAGATCTCGCTTAGGCAAAATAAGATCTCGCTGAGTCACTCAGGGAGGACTCATAGGAGAAATATCTTGCTCTCTAGACGTCATCTCGCTCAAGCGAGATGGAGATTCAAGTGAGCATATCAGAAAATGTAGAGCATGACTGATAAGTCTGTAATTAGACCATATTTTACAGTTCATATATTCATATTTGACCTTTATTTTATTTGGTGATCACACTAATTTATATATTAATTATACAGTTTGGTATAAAGATATCGCAAGTATACTTTGGGTGTATTTTGGGCCAAAATTGATAGAAGATTAGAACTTTGCAACAGTCAGCACGCCCAGACCCTTTCAACAAGCACGAAGGTGCTTCGAACCCATGCATGGTCATGCTTAAGGCCTTGCACGGCCGTACTTATCTGCAAGAAGCCCAATTATCAAGAGTCTATACGATTTTCAAACCCTATTAAAAGGAGATTTTAGGCATCGTAAAGGAAAAACATTTTTACATCTAGTCTTTGACTTTCGGATACACCTCTCATCTCGTCCCTCTTGCACGAGATCCTTGACACATGCTTGGCGAGACTTGGAGTTTCAAGCGATTTGAAGACCGAGAACATATCTCATACTCTAGTTTGTTATTTCTTTTGATTATGGCTTTGTTTATAATTATTTTAGTTTTTTTCTTTAGCATGAGTAATTAAGTCCATAGTTAGGGTTATAAGAACTATTGTTTATGAATTTATGAAATTTTGATATTTGAATCTAAATTTGATTTTCGTTTTGTGATTAGATTTTATCCTATTGCGCTTTTTTCTTAATCCTAATTAATTATATTGTCAGGCGACTGTATTTCGGTTAATTAGTAGATCCATAGGGTAAAATGAGACAAAGGAGTAGGTGGATCAAACCAATATTTATCTTCTAATCGTTATTAAATTAACAAGTTCATATGTTCCTTAAGCTTTCTCAAATTGATGTCTTGCATGATCATTGAGGATGTTAATTTAGAGAAAAGAATATTAATATTACATGACCATTGGGTATTAATAGTATTCGTATGAATGATTGGTAATCACAAGAAAATTGGATTTAGAGTTAAACAGTAAAATAACATAAAGGATTGAACGAGAAAACTCATATGCCCTAGGTTCCTCTCTGATAAGTTTAACCAAAATGTGCATTGTATTCCTTGCTCTTAGTTTTATAATTGATTTTATAAATTCTTGTTTTTAATTAATCTCGTATCTTTAAAGCTTAAACAATTGAATTAAGAAATTTTTAGTAATTAGAAATCAATCCTTGTGGGATGATATTTCAAAAACTTAATTTAAGAACTCTTTATTACTTTTCGATAGGTACACTTGCTCTCCAAATAGTGACCACTGTCTGCATATCTCGGTCAGACGAGATATCCGTCGTTCAAGTGAGCTATTCCTTACTCAAGCAAAAGTGCGCAGGGGAGTGGGGTATTTAAGCAATTTCTAGCATAGAAATTTTATTTCATTTCAAACTAACGTTCCTCTCTTAGTTTTCTCTGAACTATGTCTCCTTTTCCTTAGATAAAAGTCTCAGAAACTCCAGTTACTCTTCATTTTCAAGTTTGGATGTTGAATCTGAACGATTTCTAGTAAGTTTCTTCCGATCAAACTTTATTTTTTCCAATCATTTCTTGTATTTTTCGCTTCTTATGGATATCTCTTGGTATTTAGGAGAACTTCTATAGTTGATCTCCAATCTTCTTCAATATCTCTTCGTAAACTTGTCTTGAGGTAAAGAGGACTCTATTTTATCATTATATTACAATATTTATTTTGTACTTATTAGAGCACTATTATATGAACATTTCATGAAAATATGTGGTTGAAATACCTGTTGTGTGAATGATAGCTAAAAATATACTTATTTGATTGTTTGAACTGATTAGTTGCGATATATTGGTATGTATTATATGATGAGTACTCGATGTGAAATATTGATGAATGTGCTGAGTAATCATTGTGTGATTTTATGGAATATGTTTGGATGAAATGATATGGTAAAATGTAATACTGATCTGAAGGATTTAGTAATTGTAACTACATTAAAAGAGGTATGAGTGGAATGAATTTAGTCTGAAAGTGCTTTACTAAGCACGATCTTATGAATGAGAGAAAGGATAACTCTGAGAATGACACTAAGTGTCGAAGATAGATTGGATCTAGTGTGAATAGTTACATAGATACACTTGAGGTATAGAGTTCGGAGACGATAAAAATCTAGAGGAAACGTAGGGTGGTGAACGACATTCGCGTATGTGTACACACTCTATCTAAGAGCAAATGTGTCACATGGCCTCACACTCGTTTCCTGACTAAAATCCTGATTATATCTTTACTAAGGGGCCCGATTATTGTATACGTTTTATCCGTGTGCATGGACTAACTAGCAACTATTTACCTAGTTGAGTAAGACTTCAAGAAATGCTGAAGGCATCAAGATCTGTGATCACAATGCACTGAAAGTGCGTATTGGAATGAGAAAATGGATAATGTATAGTAAATTATTGAGTGGTGTATGTGTGAGTATGTTTGAAATATGAATAAGTGTGAAAATAAACATATTGTAATTATACTATAAAATATGATTATGTGATGTAATGTTTTGTAAGTGATAGAATAGATGCTCATTCTTACTAATATTTTCAGAAAAACAAGATGACGGAGCCTCAAGAAAGAGTTAGATAGCTCAGTACATAATAGACTAAATTATGTATTTAATGAATATTAGAGATTGTGTTATTTTAAGTTTGCTGTTCTTGTTGAAAATGAACCTATGACTTTTGTGATGTTAGAAATGGATTACTTTTATAGTATTCCTTTTGATTATTCTAGTAATAGAATATATCAGACCTTATGTATCTACATGTATAGTGATATTATTAGAACTCCAACTGCCAACACATACTTATTTACATACCACGACTATGATCATCTCAGGAGACTATCTAGGTGGACTTTTAAGCGTGTTACTGTTATGGAGGTCACAGCTGATTCAGGCGATCGTTACCTTGAATCAGATGATGATCTTGATTCTGAAGATCTGAACGAGATAGAGAGCTAGCATGGAATGGTTTAGTATCGGGCCTGCAAGGTTGGGATGTGCTTTGAAGACTGCACTGGGACTTAAAATTTGTGTATGTAATGAAACTATTTTGATTATGTAAATATTATTTTAAGTTTATAGATTCTGATAAACAGTTGTAAACTCTTATATCGAATAGATATAATGCATTTTTAGGTTGTCCACTGAGAATACTTAGTTTTGGATTGTGATATATATTTATTTTTTTTCTTAAATTATTAATATTATCCCATTAGTATTGCAAGTTTTGAAAATTTTGTATAAATAAATTTATATTAATGGAATATTCATTAATTTGTTATAATAATTTTTAGTATACATAAGAATTGGTATTTTATTTCAACTTTTTAAAAATAAGTAATATATTTTTCGAAATTAAAATTTTAGGGGTTATACAACACAATCAAATTGTCTAAATACATATGCATCGTGATGTTATTAAAGGCTTGTGATCAAGTATTTTCTTAATCTTTACATAAATGAATATATTATTAATCAATGGATTATCTTTTTCGTTTTATGGAGGCTTGCAGATCGTCTACCCATTACTTTTGTCCTTTTTCTTTAAATATTACTAGTGCTTCATAATTTTTGCCATAAAAAAAATAGAAAGATTATTATTAAAATAAAATATATCAAAATAAAACATTGAAGGACGCCATAAATATTTTATTATGAACCATACTTATCATCTTATTTAATAATTAAAATTCTTGTTTTTAATAGTATTACTCTCAACATTAAATGTAATATAATTAATAAATGTAACATTTAACAGTATAATTTATTAAAATGTTATTTTAATTAATATTTAAGTAATACTTATATTTAATTTTTTATTAAAATAGAAAGATAATAAAAAATTCAATGCATACTAATATCAAATATTATAAATTAGATATTAATATTACTTTTACCTTATATTATTAGACACACGTTAAAAAGATTATATTTAAAATATTATAGTATTTAATATTTAATCGGTCAACTTTAATTTTTCTGTTGTAAAATAAAAGTAAAATTGATTGATTGTCTTGGTGTAGTTTTTTTAATATAATTATAATATGTAATACTTAAATGTACGTAGGAATGAAATTTTTAATATATTTTATAATGTATAATTTCTGAAATGTTAAATGGAAGAATTTAAACACTTTAAATATAATGTTTTATAAGTTATTTATCGTTAGAATCAAATTATAAATTCTTCATTTACCAAATCGTCTTTTGACTATGAGTAGAGTAAATACAATTTACAAATTTTTAACATCTATGAAAATTTTAATTTTGTAAAATATTTAATTTTGGGCTTTTAATTTTTTTTATTGATTGAAAATATTAAAAGTGAACACATTTATTAAATGTCAATAGTTCCATCTTTATCAAGAGAATAGATTAGTAAAGTGATTTATTACAAATCTCTATCATTATGGATTCCTTTTTAGTTTGAACCCATTTTCAAGGTGACTCTGAAAGCCTCTACATGTATATATATAGGATGCATAAGCAAGTCTAAAGCACATAAACACTAGTTTTGGCATACCCTTCATCTTTGCAAATACATATATACTATGGTTAGTGAAAATAATAGTTGTGTGCATATTCGATTTTCATATTTTAATGCTTATTATAATAATTCGTGTGTATCTTTTGTTACAGGACTTGCTTGTAATTGGTCTTTTGATATTTTCTATTGTATCGTGCAACTCTTGGGTTGGACATAGCCAGAATGTCATTAACGTGCTTCAATTTGGTGCCAAAGGAGATGGCGTCACCGATGATACTCAAGTACATTTAGAATTTCGATTTTGTTTTTATTTTTCTTCTTCACTTAAGAATAAAGAATCAAATATTAATATGCTTTTTTGTATAGGCTTTTGTGAAGGCATGGAAAGCTGCGTGCGGAGAAACTAACGGCAGTGCAAGGCTTGTGGTCCCACCTATGCATACGTTTTTTGTGAGTCAAACGAGATTCAAAGGTCCCTGTCGTTCAGATAAAATCGATATTATGGTAAAATTTCTCTACTGCCATTTTAAAAATGCATTTTTTTATTGTTACTTTCAGTTATATTAATATACTTTTATTTAATTTACACATTTGTTTCTTAAAACATTGAACAAATTAAAATGGTTGAGGATGCAGATTGGGGGGCAGTTAATTGCACCTACGAGAAAAGAATGGGGAACATGTTCAAAACGGTGGCTTCATTTCTATGGCGTGCGTGGTTTGACACTGCGTGGATCAGGAGTAATCAACGGTCGTGGAAAGGATTGGTGGGGCAATGTAAGAACATTTACATTCATCTGCATTAAATAATTTACTGTATGTTTTATTATTTTGAAGATGAATCTTCTAACATTGCAACATGTTTAAATTACTTGCAGCTGAATGCAACTAGCGGATGCAGGGGAAACCCTACGGTTAGAAACTCTTGGAATTGTACTCTGATTTTAACATTGAAAACTCTTGGAATTGTACCCTAAACATTAAAAATTTGCAGGCTCTTCTTTTTGAGAGATGCGATGGCCTGCAAATAAGTGGACTCACTCACATGAACGGGCCATCGTCACATATCTATGTTGTCCATAGCCAAGACGTAACCATCTCAAATGTTCATATTTATTCACCCCTCGGAAGTCACAACACCGATGGAATTGATGTTTCTAACTCTGTTCGGGTTAACATTCTTGACTCCGTAATTGGAACCGGTATTCATCTCTCTATTTACAAATAACATTTTCATTACTCTTGCCAGAACAGTATCTCACTCTAAGTTGACTCAGGTGACGATTGCATTGCTATTAAAGGTGGCACAGAATTCATCAATGTTAACCGAGTTACATGTGGACCCGGTCACGGCATCAGGTATTCCTCAAACAATTCTTTTTTATATTTTTTTTATCTCACAGAACATAAAGTTATTATTTGTCAAAAAACTCATGATGAAATGTAAATTATATATTTGTATGATCATTGATAAGTTTATAGGTCTTGTTCCAAAGACATGATACAATTTGTGAAGTTTTGATGCAGTGTGGGGAGTCTTGGAGGTGGTGGAGAAAGGGAATACTCACAACATGTGAACGTCAGCAATTGCATATTCAATGGAGCTGATAGTGCAGCTAGAATCAAGACATGGCCAGTAAGTAATCAATACATGAAATGAAAGAAATTATATATTTTAAATTTGAGAAAATATGATACAAATAATAATTTTAAAATTATTAAATCTTTATATTTTAATCTATTTATCATAAAGTTAAATACCTGTGCACGGACTACTAACTAATGATATCCATTTTGAAGGGTGGACAAGGATACGTCAACGATGTAACATATCATAATATCAGTGTCAATCAAATTTATAACCCAATTTTAATAGACCAACATTACATGCGCACTCCAGAAAAGGTTAATATTCCTTCTGATCTTTCCTTGTGTTGATTTGTTTATGAACAAATGCATCATTTTCGTTCCTATTTTGGTAGCAGAAGCAGGCACTGAAAGTGAGTAACGTTACATTTAGTACTATCTATGGGACAAGTAGCTCTGAGAATGCAGTTGTATTGGATTGTGCCGCTATAGGGTGTGACAATATTAACCTGAATCAAATCAACATTACCTCAGTTGATCCAAAGAAGCCAGCTTCAGCAACATGCAATTATGTTCATGGGACAGCCACTGATATTATTTCACCTGTTTTAACTTGTCTAAATCACTGAACACACGTCCAAATATTCTATCCTTAGTTTTTTCCTTATCGTAGGATGTACTTTAATTATTAAAAGAAATTTTATAAAAATGAATAAATAAATATAAAATTTATTACTGTTATTTTGACATATGAATCATAACACTCTTCTAAAAAAAGTTATATTATTTGAATTACTAAAAATCAATATCATATATAATACTGTATATAATTAATTTTATCTTTCTCTTATTATTTTACCTTTTTCTACAAACGTATCCTTAAAATACACTCTTCAAACAAAAAATAGACTTAAAGTATCTTTCTCAAAATATATTTAATAAAAACAAAAAACCTTTTCCATTGAGAAATGTTACTTTTACATAAAACTTTCTTATACATTCACATACTTCTAAGGGTTTAACTTTAATATACTATTGTCGAAAATGGATTCAGCACAAGATCAAAATCTTGAAGCTTGCAGGCTTCAAGAAATTGATACATAAAGTTTTTTATGCTTCTATTCAGTGTGTAATCGAAATTTTTGCTGGAGTACAAACCATTCTTAAAATGGGAAAAGGAATTGCTGTCTTTGACCACATTTTCTCGGTTATAATTTTTAGATATGAATTTTTATTTATTTTTTAATCTTTTTAAGAATTTTTAGTGTGTTTCATTACACTTTTGAAAAAAAAATGAGAATATGAAAAAATTATAATTTTTATTATTTTGAAAATCTATTTTAAATATATTTAAAAGAAAACTAATATTATAACCAATGTTATTAAACTCGTTGATAATCCGATCGATCAAATATGCAATAAATCGGTTTAACTCATAAAATTCAATAATTCAGGCCAAAATCGGTGACTTGGTGAATTTTTGTTTCAATCGGCAGGTGAATAATAAGTGAAATTGAAAAAAACAAAACAAAACAAAACAAAAAGACCAAAAAGATAGAGGCAAGAATCAAACTCTAAATATGTTGAGGGGAGATAAACGCATACTTGTTGGACCAAACTTCTTTTATATAAGATGTGTATAACATTTAATATTTATTATATACTATGTACTAGTTTAACTAGTGACTCATAAGTTTAATCTGTAACTCATTATTCTAGTGATTAGATCGTGGGAATAACCAGTCCAAGTTTTATAACATTGATTATAACTTCCTTTTAAAATAAATTTTATTTTGTATAATTATAATCAAACAAAAAATAATTTCTGAATTTATAAACTTTTAAAACTTAAATCATTTATTAATATATTTTTAAATTTTTTTATAGTTAATTATAAGCCTAAAAATAACATAGAGGAACTACATAAAAATTCTAGATAAATCAATCCTCAATGAGGGGGCCAAAAAAGGTGTTCGATCTAAAAAACAAACACTACTAGGAGCATCATGGGTGGGTTAAACCAAACAATAAAAACACTTGTTAGTTAATCTTAAAACATGGGGCAAACTAACATTTGTACACTCCTTTAACAAACAAATGGACTAAACTAAAGCTGAAATTTATCATTCTCAATCAAAATAGTTTTAACAACTAGCTTAGAATTTAGTTCAATACAAACATATTTGAGGTTTTTCACCTTATCCAACTGAACAAAAAGAATGGTCCAACATTCGAGATGATAGAAGTCCAATTTCTGCATCCCAACTATAAATTCTCCATTTGATCCCTTAAGCAGACCTCCTCCACAAGCAGCTAAAAGGTTAGTGAACAAACTCATCCACATTTATCTTAAGGTGACCTCTAGAAGGAGATTTCTAGGAGATTAGAATATCATCCTTGTCTGCCCCTTGCAGAATTGTACCGGTAGCAAGTGAAGATTGAGAATTACAATCAGCAGAGACTAAAATCTGAATTGTCAAAGCAGCATGAACAACAACTTTCGGTCCAAAAATAAAAGAGTTTCTTTCATATTAAAGCTTCCAAATAGTAACAGCACAAAGGGTGTTCCAGTTACTATAATTATTCATATTTCTACATTGCAAATTGTTAGATAACCAAGAACTAAGACTAGAGCTATGAAACCTACTCTATTTGGCTTGATTAATAAACTAATCCCAAATATTTGCAGCGAAATAACAATTCTTTAAAACATGAATAGTTGATTCAAGGATAGAAAGACATATAGGGCAAATATTAGAATCAATCATTCTTCTCTTTTTATTTCTTTGTCAATAATTAGTTTATCATATTAACTTTCTAAAGAAAAAAATAAAGTAATTTTAGACAGACCTTTCCATTTCTACAATAAGAAATCTATAGATCTTTTAACTCTAAGAACATCTTTGGATTATAGCAACAATTACAAGGCATTTGACATAGATGATATTTGTAGATGATATTGTAGGGTAGTAGAGTTTTTATTCTCAAAATTCATTATCTAAAAAATACTTTATGTGATATTATAATTAACACATTAAATTGATGATATTTATATTTTAGTAGAGAATTTTTATTCTTAAAATTTTAATGAGTAAGAAAGATTTTATCTAAAATAAGTTGTGTCATATATTAACAAAGGAAAAATAAAAAATAAAAAAATTATCACTTGATTGATGCATTAAATTTATGATATATGCATGTTGGTAGAGATTGTTATTCTCACGATTTCAATGAGAACAAAAGATATCATCTAAAATTTCAATTGAGACATTATATAATTGATACACCTTATCATCAAAGTTTTCAAGATATAACAACACTCTTTAACATTAATGATAGAGAAGATAAAAAATTATTGTTTAATTGATATATTGATTTGTCATGTTTTAACACTTTCAATCTCTATAGCAACAACAGAGAGAACCTTTTCAGTAATGGAAATTATTAAGACAAGACTTTAAAACAATATAGATGATGAGTTTGTTTTGTAAAATGCGTAGTTGTTAATATTTAAAAATACATTACTATTATTTTTAATATAGAGTCAATTATTGATTAATTTGATATTATAATTGAGCTTAACTTTTCTAAGTGACTATTAATAGTAAGTTTTTTTTTTTACTGTTTCACATTTTATATAAGTATTAATCATTCTAAATAATATAATTATAAATTAAGTTTAATATGTTAATTTTAAAAATATATAATTTTTTTATTTGACCCCGTAGCTTGAAACAAAAGAAGTAATATAACCTTTATCACAAAGATCACAGGCAGACTTTCACTCTTAGGAGGTGCTAGTGAAGTAGTTGGTTTTGAGGCAAGCATGCAGAACGATAAAAAAACAAAAATAAATAATTATATCATAATTTTCTGAATCATTTTCATTTAAATTTCAACTTGCTGATTTTTGTTGCACTTTTTAAATAATTTTTAATCTAATTTTGAATACAACTTTTGAATTATCTCATAAATTATATTAATCTTGCATCACATGTTAACTAAAATTAATTTACAACTTGAATATCGAAGAAAAAGATCCCTTTTGTTACATGAGGGTCATGTTGCCGTGTTTTTGTGTTACCGTGTTTAAGACCCTCGTGTTCGCGCGCAAACGTGAAAGGATCCCGTCCGTATATCGATGCACTAGACGACTCTATTTTATATCTCTAAAAGTTAAAGCCATAATTGTATCTGACTGTAATTACCTCTTTACTGAAAAAGCATGGGACCTTCATTCTCGCACACTCCGACCTCACACTCCCTAAGCTATCTTCAACACTAACAACATTTTATTATTTTCAACACAATTTTGCAAATCCAAACCCAAACCAGAACCAGAAAATGAGTATGACTCTCTCTGAGAGTCCCTTAGCTAGGCTAAATGAGATGCTGGATCAGGGTCGCGAGATTGCTACAGAGCTCCTTCGTTTGTTTCACAAGTCTAATGAGTCTAATCGGAAAGTGATTGAATCGATGCTGAGAATTGACAATGAGATTTTTTCTGTTCTGAATTATGTAGCTCCTGAAACTACCACCAACGACTTGCAGTCTCAAGATTCAACTCACAAAAGAACGAAATTATCGCCCATTAGAGAGGATCTAAGGTCTTTCTCTCAACTATTCTTGTGATATCATATGTGACGAGCAACAATGGCAACACCATATCTCACACATTTAGTTCAAATTTATTAAAAAATTATAAAAATACAAAAAAAAAATCAATTTTGAGTGAAATTGGAATTATTGTTCTATGTATTTAATTTGCAACACGTTATCACAGCAACAATGAAAGCTTGTCTGAAGGAGAAAATGATGAGATGAACAATCATGGACACGATAGCTCACATGAGCAATTCCGAGGCAAAGAGAAGATAAGTGACATTGAATTCCCGTGGCCCTCGTTAACAGAAAGTTCTGACTCAGGATCTGATACAACATCGACATCTTCACAAGAGTATTCTGGTCCCTCATGAATTTATCATGCATAGAATTTGAGTTAACAACATATTAAGTTAATGGAATGTGGTTTTCACTTCTATACGATCATGATAACTAAATATCAGGAGTTTAAATAATTTAATTAGAATGTTGCATCAGTTGGAAAAGAAGATTTTGTTGACATTTTCATCTCGTAGAGATGCATAATTATTTCTCAAGTATAATATGTCAAACAGTTTAATAATTTCTTCTTTAATTTTATCTTTTGTTTCAAATTTATTCACTAAATAATTTTGGTTCAATTTATAACTTTTTCACTTTTATTTTAGTCTGAGATAGTCATTCGATTATGACACTACTAAATTTTACCAAAATCCCGTCAGAAATTGAACATTTTAATGATTATTAAAATTGATTAATTGTTAAATATGGCTTATTACATTTAATTAGTATTTGATTACATTAACTGCTTGAGGATGCACAATTCAGGGTGTAACAATATTCCCCTGAAACAAATCAAAATTACTGGAATTGATCCAAAGAAGCCAGCTTCAGCAACATGAAATAATGTTCAAGGGACATCCAGTGATATTATTTCACATCTTGTACCTTGTCTCAATCACCGAACAGACATGTTTACCTTTTTTATATACAAAGGATGGCATCTCTTTCTTAATTTCTTTAGTTTTGTAGGATGTATTTTAATATATAAAGGAAGTTTATCAAAAATGAGAAATAAATATAAGAAAATTACTGCTGTTACTTTGAAATATGAATCATATTTTTAGTACAACGATAAATGTTATTAGTCGTTGTATATCTTTCCTCTAGTTAGTTTTCAAACAGGATTTAGCACATGATCAAAATCTTGAAGCTTTCATGCTTCAACAAATGAATAGAAAGTTTTTTATGCCTCTAATCAACGTACTACCAGAAATCTCCGCAGGAGCACAAGCCATTCTTGAAATGGTGGAAGCGATTGCGGTCCCTCACCACAATCTCTCGGTTATAAACCTTAGATATGAACTTAGTAGCAGAATGACAATCTTCACAAACGCGCAAGTTCTTCACAATTCTAATAGATGTGCCAGGGGGAGTACTCAAAAGAGCAAAAGCTATGGCAAGCTTTTCACTATGTCTATACAAAGCATCTTCTTTATCTTCTTCATCAATGTCAAGCAATACCTGAGATGTTGTAGGCACATACCCTGCCCTCTTTATTTCCCTTCCCATCTCATCCACCATTTCATATATCTCTTTGTGCTGATCATGTGACTTATCACCTGCAACAAACTCATACATTTCACTGTTTATCTCAATCATGGTACTCCCTGGAATCTTCTTCATCCCTTTAACATCCATCATCTCCCTAACCTTAGTCTTCTTCTCCCAGCGCAGCAATTTCGCATAAATGTTTGAAAGCAGCACATAGTTAGACTCATGCATTGGCTCCTTTTTTATTAGCTCCTTCGAGATGCTCTCACCCAGCTTGAGTTCGCCGCGAGCATGGCAAGCAACAATTATGCTTCTCCATATGATTTGGTTTGGCTCAACAGGCATCGTTCGAACAAACTCCAACGCCTCATTCACAAGCCCTGCTCTACTCAACATATCAACCACACATCCATAGTGTTCAATCTTAGGCACAATGCCAAAACTCTTCTCCATCAAATCGAAATAGTATCGCCCCTTATCAACTAATCCTGAGTGACTACAAGCAGATAGCACACCTATGAAGGAAACATCATCAGGCACCACCCCTTGCTCAACCATCTCATCAAACAACAAAACAGCCTCTAATCCACGACCGTGCATCGCCAAACCAATAATCACCGAAGTCCACGAAACAATGGTCCTCATTTCCATTTCTCTGAACAATTTCACAGCCCTATCAACATCACCACACTTTGCAAACATGTCAATCATTGCATTACAAAGCTCCACAGACTTTGTCACATTCTTCCTCTCAACATAAGACTCCAACCACTTCCCCAACTCAAGTGCACCCAAATCAGCACATGCAGTTAAAACTGAAACCATGGTGATCTCATCAGGACACACCCCCACAACCTGCATTTCCCTAAACAACCCAACGGCACGTGCAGAATCCCCCACACGTGCGTACCCTCCAATCATAGCAGTCCACGTCACCGAATCCGTCTTAGTACTTCCATCAAACACCTTCCTAGCAAATTCAACCCCCTCTTCACAACAACAATACATGTGAACCATGGTGTTCTGCACGTGAAGATCATCCTCAAAACCGAACTTTACCACCGACCCATGAACCGTTTTCCCTAACGGAGTATTCCCAAGGCCAGCACAGGCCTTGAGAACAAAAGGGTAAGTGAATTTATTAGGCAAAACGCCGTAACGGAGCATTGTTTTGTAGTAACGTAAAGCGTTTAACTTTGAGTCGTTGGTTTGAGCGAAGGCTCTGATGAGGGTGTTGAAGAGGACGGTGTCGTGGAAGGGGAGAGGGGTAGCTTGGTCATTTGGGAAGAGGAAGGTGGAAGCGTAGTGAATGGCGTGGAAGTGTGAGGAGGTGGAAGCGAACTTGGTGAGGACGAGAGGGTTGTTTTGGAGACCGAGTTTGAGAATGAGCGCGTGGATTTGGGTGAGATTGGTGAGATTGTTGCAGGAGTGAAGAAGAGCCAAGCATGTTTGTTCTGCCACACGTCGTTTCGTGGTGTCTGGAGGAAGTTGGAGCCATGGGATAGTGATTGCAGATGATAGCTTGGTTAATTGCATTGGTTCATTTCATGAGTTCTGAAGCCGCACTTCACTTCACGCTCCTCTTCCTTCCTTTTCTCTGTTCCTCTGCCTTTTTCTGTTGCGGTCAAATCCTAATATTTTTTGGTTTTATTTTAAACACAAAAGATTCAGACTAAAAGAGACAATGCATATAATATTTTTGTTTTTTTTAATATATATTCAATGAAACATTTTTTTCTTGTGTAACGATATCAAGGTCTTGCTTCAAGTCTTCTTATATATATATAAACTCATACTCAACTTATAACAATTAAGTCTTCTTATAAAATGTTCAATATAAAGTTCTTATTTTTATTCAATTTGTTTAAAATAATTTAAAATTTTCAATTCAAATTAAGTTTGAAAATAAATTAAGAATTTGTAATTTTTTATACATAAAAACTTGATAAAATTTTTAATTATAATAACTAAAAATATTAAAAGACAAAATCATATTTTAAAAAAGTTAGTAACATATTTTTTGTAATTATAATTTTTTAAAATTTAAAAATAATTAATTTATAAGACATGTATGTTAAGTTTTTAAAAAAAATAATGAATCATAAAAAATATATTAAAAATACATGGAAAAGAGCACTAGCTAACTATTTTTTAAGGAATAAAAGTGTAATTAAATAAAAAATTCAAAGAGAAAGGACAGTGCATTGAGAGCAATTCTAATGTGTCTTTTTTCATATAAATGAGAAAAAAATTACCAAAGTATGATATTTTAAAAAAATTACAAAAATATAATTTTCTCTCAAAATTCGTAAGAGTAATTTTTTATTATTATTTTTTTCAAAAAATCTTCAGCGGTGATTTTCAAATTTAAAATTTTTTATTATTTTTAAAAAAATTATCAGTAGCGATTTTTTATTTTTTAAATATTTGTTTTTTGAAAAAACAACCTTAAGCTAAAATTGCCTCTAATAATTTTTAAATTTTATATTTTCGTAATTATATATATATATATATATATATATATATATATATATATATAAAATATTTCTCCTAATGTGACATTGGCACGTGCGATTTTCAATTTTGTTTTATGGTGGTGGTGGGAGAAGCAGCCACGTCAGTGACCATCCATCAACCATCAGCCACCTCTGTTCTTATGAGTTACGGTTCAGGCAAATTAGAAATGCAACTGAAGTTCATTGAGGTTTGAAGAACCAAACAAATCGCAAATAAAAACATGAGAAGAAAATGGAATCTTCTCTTTAAATCTAAACAACTCACTGCATTTGCATTTGCAAGCCCAGCTTCTAATTTCCGCGTCAATGCGCTTCTTCGCTCTTATTGCGATCAATCCCGATCCCAACTTCGCCGTCAAAACCGTTCAGGTCGATCCTTTTCTGCACTCTTTTGTAATTTCAATTTCATTTCTGGATCGTGAAAATCCACGTTCTCTATTTTAATTTTAACAATTTAAACGTAGTTTTTCTTTATTTTTAAAATTTTTAAATTTTGTGGAAATTGTGGTGTTCCAGGGCCTCTTGTGCGGTACAGAAGTCTAGTTGATCAAGGGAGATTGCTGCAGGATCCTTACCAAGAGATTGTTGCTTCAGAGCTTGAGAATTTGCTTGCAAGGTTGGAGCAGTATGAGAAAGATATGGAGGAGTATCATGTAAAATTGGAATTGGATATTTTGTTAGTTATACATTTGTTGCACCAACTAACGTGTGTTTTAGCTATGGTTGCGCTGCTTTTATTGTTTTTGTGTTTGTGGTTTTTGAATTTGGCCATGCTCTTGGCAGGTAAATCTATCTAATTGGGAGAAGAAGCGGGAGAATGAGCGGCGAAGGATTCTCATGGAGGAAGTTGAGTTGCAGCAGAAGGATGAGGATTGGTGGAAGCGGTTGAACAATAAGCTTACTGAAAGATGGGCATCCCGGTAAATTTTGAGTTCATTTAACATGGTTTTGATTCAGCCATACTTAAACCAATGTGGTTTTACTGATTCTGAGGATTTTCACTGAAACTAACACTTGCAAAATAGGCTTGCAAATGTTGTTTCATGTATTTGCTGTCATGGTATTGAAGCTACATGTCTTTTTTAATGATTCAGGAAAAGACCAGAAAATATGGAACCAGGGGTAGGGAAATGGGTGTCATATCTTAAACGTGAGAAGAAGTTGGATTCACTAGTTGGTCCCCGTCCAACTGCTCCTCCGGCTCCTAAGGGACTTTACATATATGGCAATGTTGGCAGTGGTAGTTAACCTTCTTTGTGTTTTTCACTTTTTTTTTGGGTACTATTTATGTTTACATGTAATACAAACATATAAGTTATATCAGCTTGATTTGATTTCTCTGGTTGCTTCATTAATGTCACACGCCAAAGTAGATATAATTTACTTCCTTGGTTCTCTTTGTAAAATTATTTTGCCAGTTTCTTTTCTAAATATTTGCTTACTTTAATGCTGAAGGGAAGACCATGCTAATGGACATGTTTTATAGTGCCACGGAAGGAGTTGTTAAACATCGAAGAAGGTATCACTTTCATGAGGTGAGTCTTTTACTATGCTTTTGAGAACTTCTGGTTATATTGATGTAGAATTGTAGATCTCACCTATGTTGTTTTCTGGAATATATGCATCTTCTTATTTTATCTAGACCGTTGAAAAATTTTGTGATCATGGTGATGAAAGCAATAAAAATTAATTTCCTCCATCAATGTGCAGGCCATGCTTAGAATTAACGAACATATGCACAAGATATGGAAGAATCAAGTGGAAGAGAGGCCTTTCCAATCAGCCATTTCTGGTTGGATTATGAATCTTCCCTTTGACAATAAAGCAAAGGAGTGGCTGGCTGCTGAAGAAAGATACAAGCAAGAGGTACAGATGAAAAACATTCTTGCTGCTGTAGCAGATACGTTTTTCCTGGATCAAGAAGAAGGTGAAAAGGGAGCTAGCATTTTGTGTTTTGATGAGATACAGGTAAAGGAAAATTCTTGCATTGTGTTATAATAATTTCTTTCATGGGTAGAGTAAAATGGATTTAATGGATTATTTTATTATTTATTTAATCTGTTTAGGGTTTTGGTGAACATTGGGTGTGTCCTTCCCACTTGGAGTATTTTTTCATAATCCATTTGAAAGTATGGAGGATAAAGTTTATGTAGTTTTCTCCTTCCCTGGTCTAGTTTCTCATTTGTAATCTGTTTGTTTTTCTTGGTTAGGAATATTTTTCCTACCTATATGTTTTACATGTTCCAGATCATAGTGTCTAGTGAAAAGTCTATGTTGGCTTTGAAACACCACTGTTGTAGGATTGAGTTACATCTCTTATTTTTGTTCCTCCTGAACTCATTGTTATAATACTTTATTGCATAACTGGTTTTATTCATTATGTGGCTTGTAGTGTAGAATATTACTAAGTTTTGATGCTTTTTATTTCAGACTGTTGATGTATTTGCTATTGTGGCTTTATCTGGAATTCTTAGCAGATTGCTGAGTAGCGGAACTATTATTGTTGCTACCAGTAATCGAGCACCAAAGGACTTAAATGAGGTGTGTTCTTTACTAATCAATCTTTTGTAGTATGTGTTATCATTTTTACCTGTTATTCAATTACGTGGTAGGGGTTAATAGTTACACCAATGACATCCTCGGTAATTTTCTGGTTTGGAGGAATTGCATCCCTCTCATCCTAGACCAGTTAGAAACAAGGCTTCATTTGTTTCTCTGTATTTTCTTCAGAAATTGTTTTTTGTGCAGGCTGGAATGCAAAAAGAAATCTTCCAAAAACTTGTCTGCAGATTAGAGGAACATTGTGAGAAGATATTGATAGGAAGTGAAATTGACTACCGTCGTTTTATAGCACAGAGATCAGAAAATCAGGTGAGAATTCAAGTTATTTGTTATTTTCCAACCTGTCTCAACTATTGAAAAAGATCTCTATGTGTTGTCAATTGATTCCATAGTAGAAGAGTAGTAATCTGACAACAACGACATCAACTAAGCCTTTTTGGGTCGGCAACATGGATCAAATGGTGCCATATTGTTCTATCGTGAAACATATTAAAATTACAGACAAAGTACTACCTCTAAATCCTTTCCATTGTTTCACGTATAGATTTTTCTTGGTCCCCCTCTGCATCTAACAATTAGGCTACCCTCTATCAAATCTAATCTCCACACTTTGGCTTTTACATGTCTTCTCCAGACATACCCATGCCAACTAAGGCGAGTTTCTACAATTTTTGTTTTACCTTAGGTGTGTCACCCCAACTTCTTCTCCAATGCATTTTACAAGGAAATTTTATTCATAATCATATTTTGTCTACTATATGCACTTAACCAATTTTACATTCTCAATTTTGCTATAATAAGTATATGAAAAATGTTAACTAGTACCCATTAAGGAATCAAAAGAAGAATTTTTTATTGAAAATCATAATAATGCACTCAACCCCATGACATTGACTCTTGGACATGTATAATAACCACATCCACAACCAAGATAAAAAGATAAGGGCTCAAAGTTTAATGCAGTCCTAATGGTTATAGGAAGGTCTGCTATGGCCACATCTTTTGTTCTCATCCTAGTCAAAATTCCTACACATACTTGATTGCTCAAATTTATGCTATATAAACTCCTATCATTGTCTTTTCTAAATCAATAAAAATTATATAATTATCTTTTATTTCTTTGATACCTCTCCATCCAGTATCATAGTATTGTATGATGGTCAACTGTCAACCCACCCAACATGAAACCAAATCAAATTTTAATAAAATGGGTCTCTTGTCATAAATTCTACTAAATTACCTTCTCTCATAACTTCATGATTTATAAGATATATCCTCCTATATTTTGTGCAATTTTATACATCTCCCTTCTTATAAACAGGGATTATAGTATGACTCCACTCGTTTAGCATTTTCATAGATGACAACGTCATAATCTTCTTAAGTAACTTTGTGAGTCAACTAATACCTTCTCACCTAGAGCCTTCCACACCATAAGGGATATACCATCCATCTATTATAGTTTTTGCATCCTTACATGGCATATTCTTATAGCTATATGTTAACAATACATCATATTATGCCTATTGAAATTGGAATATATTGGAATTTCAACGGGCATAGATATGTAGGTACACTATTTCTGGCCTATTGAAAAGGAAGCCATCAAGGAATTTGAGAGAAAGTGGCATGATGTAACAGGCAGATTGGGAGGAAGAATTATCTCCAACACCATCTCAGTGATGTTTGGAAGGTGTTCTATTGATATTTAGTGCTGTCAAACAAGTGTTCATAATAAACATAAATCATATAATTTCTTTCTTTGACAGGACACTTGAGGTTCCTGAAAGCTGTCAAGGAGTTGCACGCTTCACATTTGAGTATCTCTGCGGTCGTCCGGTACATTCTTTTTGTTTGGTTGCTGAACAAAATGCTTTTCCAGCTAATCAAATTATTAAATAATTTTTTTTATATTATTTTATTTTTTACTAAATTGGCAAGTTGATATAATGTTTCATTAAAGTGTTCATGGCTCAAATGGCTAAGAACAACCTTGAAGAGTTAGTTTATAGATATGATGGAACATTTGATGGTTAAACTCTTTGCTCTCTGTGGTTTATTCTTGCTGTGGTGATCTCGTGGCAACTTTTCTTGCCTTGGAGTAGAGGGAAGGGAGCTCTTGAGGTAAAGATTTAGAAAATTGTAAAACCATTTTGCTAATAAGGTAGGAATGACCCTAAGGTGTTTTTAATTGCTTGAGAGTTGAGAGAATTCATATAACCCTTGTTGAATTATATTTGAAACAGTATAAAATCAATTTCCACAGTTTTAGGGACATCTTAAACTATAGAAATGCATGTATTAACAGCATATATTTCCTACTCTGATTAGATTACACCATACAATATTTGATTTTTACAGCAATCAACAGTAGGAATTATTCTATGATAGGAACTAATTGAGCTTCTAAGTTTAAGAATGTTTAGGCTGAATTATGAAAGGATGGACAGGACCTGGTTGAGTATAAATCTAGTGATAGAAAGGATACCAGAATACCATGTGTCTATATTTAGGTGGTTTCTTGTTAAGACCACAAGGATGGTACAAATGCTATGCATGTTTTTCCCTTGTTCTTTAAGCATTATTTGGCTTGCATTTACATCATCATGATTTTAAATTTTCTGTGTGATTGTGCACACTCAAGCAGGTGTACATGATATGTTCTATCTCGTTTTGGTTTTCAGTTGGGTGCAGCAGACTATATTGCAGTAGCTGAAAACTTTCACACTGTTTTCATATCTGATATTCCAGTGATGAGTATGCGCATCCGTGACAAGGTACTTATCAGAAAGATAAGTTGATTTTGCCTTAATCTAGTGATAAATGCCTAATTTTTTGCAATAGAAATTGTGCATTAATATCTTGCTTTCTGACTCTCAGCCTAATTTCATAAGTTATTCCTTAAATTCAATGCTTAAAATTTTTGTGCATCAGTCTTGGCCTTTCTATTTGGTACATTTGTTTCTGCATACCCCTATCCTATTTTGACCTAAAACTTGTTCCACTTTTCAGGCGCGGAGATTTATAACCCTTATTGATGAGTTATATAATCATCATTGCTGCCTGTGTTGTTTGGCATCCTCTTCAATTGATGAATTATTTCAAGGAACTGAGGAAGGCACACTTTTTGACTTGGAAAGGTAATTTTGTCTGTTTGTATGAATTATATCATGTGTGATGCTTTGTTTTACAAAGTATAATTGTGTTAAACCTTCCCTAATAGTGGATGATAATTCTGTTTACCATTCTTGTCACTTCACCTTCAATACATTATCCAGTAATTGATTCTGACGCTTGTTATGCCTGTAGTTAGGAACAGATGGGTTTGTATTGGAAACTTTTCTTTTGAATTCATGGGTATTCATTTTCTTAACTGATCATTTACAGTTATTGAATGAATCCCTGTAATTGTGCACCAATGTTATACACCAATGTTATACTTGACCAAACAAATAACCATATATTACATTTGCCATCATGTGGCATAAAAAAGTGAGACTAGGCAAGAAGGAAGGGTTTTGCTCACAGTTTATCCAAAATCTATGTTAAGTAATTGCTATTTTTGTGGTGTGGTAAGGTTACATAGAATCCAAAATAATTATAAAAGTGGTTTTACTGATAAAGTTGAGAAGTTGGGGACCATATACCCTGATTTGAAAGGTCCACTTCCCATGTATATCCTAACTTGGCATGGAAGGCAGGCAGAATTATAAATTATGAAATTGTTAAATTCCCTGTCTATTTAATTTTCTTGTGACAAATTGTAACTTTAATAATTAGTTACCGATTTTTATATGTTCTGTTAGTTGGGCCAGCATTCCTTTTGTTGTTAGAATTCTGAATAATGAATAAAATCATGATGACTCGTGGCCTATCTATCAGCTTTGATTTTTATAGTAATGGTTCTAATTAAATGATGCATTGTTAAGTGAAACTTCTCACTCTTGTTTGATTCCAGTTTCCAGTTTGAAACTGAGACTGAAGGTGGGAAACTTCGCTGCAATGTCTTGGCAGAAGGCAAGGTGGGCTCAGGAGGTGCCCCGGTTGGTATCACATCCATCCTGTCCGGTCAAGAAGAGATGTTTGCTTTTCACAGAGCTGTAAGTAGTGATTTCCCTGGTTTTAGTTGCAAGTTGCAACAAAATCATTATTTAGCACTATGATGAATGGTTCCGTGTATTATTTATTGTTCCTGACTACAAGCATTGTAGTGGCATTTCATGATAAAATTCTTTTTTGTATTCCCATAGATGTTTGCTTCCTGCTGATGAGTGTAACATACACTAGTTTCTCATATGTTGTGATAAAGGGTGCTAATGCTATACAGTGATTTTGTAAAACATTAAAGGAAACTTTGAAGTAACTCATGAAATACAATTCACTTTTATTTGTTTTCTGATGGAAATCTGAAAATGATTGAAAAAAATGTAGTTAACACAATTGATAGAGTGCAGTTTAAACTCATTCACACAGTCAGCAGACTTGCTAAATAATTAAGCATAATTTGTAGTCACAAGATTTCTTCAAGATATGATCTGCCTGCCTTAAGATTTGCAAAAGAACCATCTTCTTTCGGTATGTTTCAGATAGATTTGAAATTGTCAAGCTTACTATAGAGATTAATGATACTTGCACAAACTTTATCCTCACGAACACCTCAGGCCTCAGACTCTGGTAAACTCATTTGGGCCTTCCAAAACAGTTACCGTCGGATTGAGGTGTTATCCAATGGCTTTCTGGAGAGTTTGAAAAGGAAAAATTGTAGATATCATTACAATATTAGAACATATGCAGCTGCATAACTTGTCTGCCGTGAACTGCTTTGCCTGTAGACTCTATTGTTTTTCATCGTGTTGTTAAACTCTGACTAGTTACTCAGTGTTCAATGTTGCATGGTCGTATTTGCATACAACGATATAGCTGTCCCCTAAATTCTTTGCATTGCTCTTAAACATTGAAAGATCAACAAAGAAGAAAATAATAACATTGGGTCTTTCTTTGTAGGTCTCACGCCTGATTGAAATGCAAACGCCATTATACTTGGATGGAGCCAGTAATTTCCACCCTTATTTTCAGAGGCAACATAAAAAGTTCCAAAAAGATCGTGACAGCTTGCTATCTGAGTCATCAATCTGAAAGTAAATTTCTTTATTCTACATGAAGTAAAATTGTAACCTGATGCAAATTGACTTTTATACTCTTCTGTGGAGATAGATAATCGGTCCACATTAGTCAGTAATAAGGACCAACAGACTAGACGAGTGATCAAGTTACTGACAGTATTGATTTATTCCTTACAACTGTCTCTTAAAAAATGCATATTGCATAATGCATATAACGTGTAATTTTGAAGAGGTTCTAAACTTCTAATTGTATAAATGCTGAAGGATTAAATCCTATCTGCATATTTGTTAGCTGTAAAGATTGATCCAGTTCAATAATAAATCCTGTTACTTTGTCAAACTGTTGCGTGCGTAATTTGCTGATTTTGAATCTGCAAGCTCACCCTTTTCTGCGTTACAACTGTCAACTTCAACAGGCAAGCTGGGATAGCATACGAGGGTTACTGTGTAATCGTGAGAAGTTTATCTGAAAGACCAAAAATAAGTGACACGCGACTGATGTTGATGTCTCTGAATAGGCTAGAAATACCACTTTAACCATTTTAGTTTTGTTTCGAAGGTATATAGTATTATTATATTTACTATGCGAAATCATTTAAATAGACCTACTTTCATGATCAATAAATGTTTTCACGTATAAAGTTCACCGTTGACTTCATTGTAGTACAACTCTTTGCTTTTTGTGTGGACTCTGCGAGATGCAATGATTGGTTTGATAAGATAGTTTGAGAGAAATTTAATAATGGTGCATAACTATTATTAGAGAAATGAAACATTCTCTTATTCTGCCGCATTTGTTACAAATTTGCAACGATACATTAAGAATTAGAAACACCCACTTATAACTAATGACAATCGTAGAGTAATACACATAATATCCGAAATTTGATCCCCGTTTTTTTAAAGAAAAAAGAATTGCACTTCAATTCTTCCCAGCGTAATTCAACAATTTAAATTATTTGTACAAAATAGTAGAAATTTTGAATTACCAGAAAATTTTGAATTAACAGAAGAGAATGTCATGCAAATTCATGTTCATCGATTGGTGTGGTAGGGTACTGTGCTTCAGGTTAGTGCCGCTGCATGGTTTCTAATGTTGCATTGTTTTTCATATCCAATTCCTGTTTCATTTTGTATTGCAGTGAATCCAAGCCTATCTGAGATATTTTTCTCATGGGCATCAATTCAGAAGAACTTTCTTTGAAATCCCATGTAAAAATATCTGATAGATCAATGCTTTAGCTCCAAGAAACAAGAAGATACAAAAGTACAATAAAAATTTATTTCTCAGTAGAAATTTACTATTATTAAATATTTAAACATAGTTCTAAGGGTTAAGGTTAAAAAATTGATAATAAATTAATAAATAATAAATTTTTATAAATAATTATTGCATTTAATGTTACAATGCATTATATTTTGTAGTATCTTATAATTTTCAATAAAAATGTATAGGTCATGTTAACCAATGTCCTAAGAACATTCGTCAAAAAATTAATAAATAGTACTATTTCTAGTCTTGTTTATTAAAAGACAATTATCACCATTTTTTTTTCAAAATATAAGAAACAAAGATGCATTTTTAAATGTATTAATTGTTAAAAAGATTGATAACTTTATTTATTGTGAAATTTGTATTATTAAAAGCACTTGCCCATATAAAATAAATATATCTATTTATTTAATTTAAGAGTTACTAATTTGATCAGTTATTTAGAAGATATTTTTAAAATATACTATAAATTTATGATATATAATTAATTTTTATCGACCATAATAAATTAGTTATTTATTTCTTATAAAAAATGACCAGAAGAAACAAATTATTATTCTAAAATATAGTAAAATGCATTAAAATTTATAGGAGTGGGTGCGCTTTTGTGTTTTTCAATAGAAAAAATATACTATTTTTTTATTTCATAACCAGTACATTAATTTTTAAAAATTTATTAATTTTATTATTTCAAAATTTGACTTAAATATATTTTTGTTTCTTAAAATATTTTAATTTTGATTCTTATAAATTTATTAATTTTTGGTTTAGTCTCTATTTTAAAAAAAAGTATTGGTTTTGATCCTCATACTTATTTAATTTTACAAAAAAAGTAATACATAATATAAAAATTAACATGTGACAACGTATAAATTAGTCTCATCATCATTTAATAGATTAAAGACTAAATTAATAATTTTTTAAATATTTTTTAACGTGTATACACCTAATTAAAAATATAACATTTCATATTATTAATACATTAAATTTAATAATATCACATTATAGCAAAAAATTTAATATTATCATATAACTTTTAATTAAAAAAAATTACTATACACAAGTTTTATGGCGTGCTCTTGCGTACACATTAAAAAAAAGTTATTTTTTAAAATATAGGAACTAAAATGAAAAATTTATTAAGATAAAAATTTAGTATATTTAAAAAATAAAAAAAAACATATTTAACCTTAAAAATTTACTAAACATAATAAAAAAATTTAACATGAAAAAAAAAGAACTCTTAGTTTTATCTCTCCTCTCGAAATATATTAAAAATGTAATCTTTTAAATACATTTTACTCTATATTAAAATAATTATTTAGGTCATAAATTTAATAATTTTAAAACTTATTTTAACAGTTTTTAAAAAAGTAACTAATTATAATATACGAGTACTGCTAAATATACAGGACATACTATTTTAACACAAAATAGTACGAATATAGCGTAAAATAATTTTATTGACTAAATAATAAATTAGAAAATTAATTAAAAAAAGAGAATCACAGAAATTATAAATAGGTCATTAATATAATTATTTGTGAAAATTCGTTTAATACTATTTATAATATATATACATTGAAGAGTACATTTAAAAGTACATTGTTGACCATGTTCTTCTCAATAATGGCATTTGGCCGTAGTAACACCCACAAGTTTCATGTGCTGACGATTTTATGTAACATACTGCACGTGCTTAAATTTAGTAACATAACGGGTGTACAAACAGATGCATGTCGTGTTGGAAAACAACATGACCTACGCTTAACTATGACTGTGTGGGTTGTTGAAAATTTGACCAAGTCTTTGCTGAAAAATTTTTATTAGTTGAAAAACTTGTTTCTTGATATTTTTATTAATTTTACTTTAACTAATATCTTTTAAAATGTTATTTTTTAATTATTAACTAAAAATATTTTTTTTTAAATGACAAAAATTAGATATCATTTAAATAAAATTTTGAGTTTAAATTTTTATGATGCAAAAGATTTTTACAATATGTAGTTTGAGTTAGATCTAAATTAAAATTAAAAATTAAAAAAATTTAATAATTTATTATTTTATCTCTTTAACTTTTAAAATTTTACTACGTTTAACTTTTTAAATGATTTATTATTAAATTTTATTAAAATATACCTAAATAATTAAATATTTTAAATATAAATCATCATATAATTAATATAAGTTAATTTATATTATTTTATTCAATAAAAATATTTTAAATAAGAATAAAATTAAATTTTAATTAATTTTTATAATTACATAAATATATAATTACTAAATTTTAAATTATGGACTAAAAATTAATTATGTTCTTATATGTTACAACTAGTTTTTTTTTTTTAATTTGGTGACCAAAATCTTAATTATTTTAAAAATTTTACGGTGCTAGACTAAGAATGAAAATATATTGAAAAAATTGTTAAAATTAATTTATATTAATTTAATAAAAAATTTAATTTATATCGATTTATAGAGGACACTTAAATACTGGTATAGAGAAGTTGAGAATATAATGGACTTGTAGTGGTTACTGAATAAAACTTTGCATTAAAAAAATAATTAAAAATAAAAAATTCATGAAATGAATCAAAAGATGAATCTAATCCAACTTATTTGCCAAAATGTGGTTGCTCTCTAAGACATGTAATTTTAACTTTGAATCTCCAACTTTTTTCTTCTACACACATCATTTCTGAAGTCATTTATTTTCCCATTCAAAAAGCATAAAGGAAACATATACTTAAAGGAGAAAAACAATGTGCAAATTTTCTTCAGCATTGCAATCCTTGAGTTAAAAGTTGCTTACATAAATAGAATCTACTAAATGTATATAGCTAAACAAGTTTTGAAAATTGTGACAAAAGCACAAGTGATAAATTGATGAAGCAAACCCATAATACAAATTATAATTTTATTAGAAAGACTTATTAAACAATGAAAGCTTAACATGTAAATCTTTAAAAAGAAGGTTCAATGTTTCCTTAAAGTTATATTTCAGCAACTCATTAACTTATTAAGACTTTGAAGCAACACAATAGAGTAAATAGAGTCTCTTGATAGACAATTTTCTTTTGTTAGGTATGGCTTCTAATGTGTCAATTGTTTCAGATATCAAAATACAATAAAGACTATTGTTTTTTCATACATATAAATCATGAAATCAAACTTGAGATTTCATGATTTAAGTTATACTTATTCTGATACTATTTAATAATTTTTTAAATATTTTTAAAAATTAATTTTTATTCACTATCTTAATTTATTATATAATCTAATTGATATTTTAATTTTTTAAATTTTATTTTATTATTTTTTAATAAGAATTAGACAAAATTAATTATTTACATATATATAAATGTTTATAAAATTTTTATATATAAAATATGAATTTTTATTTTTAAAAGAAAATATTTTTATAAACTATCTTAAACGAGAATAGCTTGACAATTTTTTTATTATTATTATATCATATAATTCTTTTACCTTTTTGTGCAATTTATTTATTATAATAAAATATTTATTACTAGTAATTAAAAATATAAAAGCGGTTATATGATATGTTTTTATTTTAAGTTAATAATATTTACACAGTGCATAAAACATTTACTAATGAAAGGGAAAGAAGTGTTTTTTTCTTAGTCAATTTCATATGAATTTGATGCGATAATAACGTTAAAAATTGTAATACCGGACAACTCTCTCTGACACGTGTGCATACTATAATATATATTAGCACCACTCAGCTTTATATTGAGTGTATTAAGAAGAACGCAGACATTGATTCCTTTCACCTACTCTCTCTCTCTGCCGCCCCTTCATCTTCCTCTCGCATTCTCCGCCGTGGTTCAAATTTCTCTGATACCCCTTTTTGTTCTTTCACCTTCAAATCGATGAACCTTTTTATCTATGCTCATTCTTCTTAGTACGATATATTTGAATATTATGATTCATTAAGCCTCTATCATCACAAAAACCATAAAAGAGAGGGTTTTTACAAGGTTCTGATTGATGGGTAGGGGAGATATTAAGCTATTTGATGAGGAAAGAAATGGTCTTTTCTCAATTTCGAATTTTGGGTCCCTTCTCAATGAGGAAGGGAGTTACCCTTCTATGGGTTTGTTTGCAAGCATTGGTCAAATGGGAATGGGGTTTGGTGTAAAAGAACCGAACCCTTCTGGTTCTCAACAACACAACGGTGGCATGAGTATGAGGATTCCATGCACTGAGTTGTATGTGAGGTATGTGCAATCAGAGGGGAAGGTGAAGATTCTTGGGGTTCCTGAGGAAGAGGAAGAGGTGGTGGAAGGGGTTAAGAGAAAGAAAAAGGGTGTCTTTAAAGGGTTGAAGATTAAGGTTAAGAACCCTTCACTAAGGAGATTGATTAGTGGTGGTTTTGCTGGGGCAGTTTCACGTACCACTGTGGCACCTTTGGAGACTATAAGGACACATTTGATGGTTGGAAGCAGTGGCCATTCTACTGGTGAGGTGTTTAAGAATATCATGAAGACTGATGGGTGGAAGGGGCTGTTTCGGGGTAATTTTGTTAATGTAATTCGGGTTGCACCTAGCAAGGCCATTGAGGTAATTATGTGGGTGTGTACGCGGGTGTACATTTGTATGGCTCTGTTTTTCACAATTTTTTTCTATTTTGGAATGATTTTTGTGTTGGTTGATTTGCTTGTGTCAAGGTATTTTGTTGAATTCTTGATTGGTATGTGCGTTTCATTATGTCAACGGATTTGCCACTGTTGGGTGCATTTGCTTTTGGGAGGACTATTTATGTGTTGAATGAGTTAAATATGTTTGTGGTCCCTCAAAATATATTACATTTTGATTTTGGTCCATATAAAATTATTATTTTTTGTTTTTGTCCCTAATTTTTTTTTTTCAAAAAAAGTTGGTTTCTTCATTGTTAAATGATTATATGATTAACTTAGTTGTCTGACACTTGGCAACTTTTGTGTCACATGTTCCTTTTTCGTGAAATTATATAATTTAAAGAGATCAAAACCTATACTTTTAAAAAATGTGAGGAAAGAAACAAGAAAAATAATTATATAGGAATCAAAATCAAAATTTGGTGTATTTGGATGGACCAATAATATATTTAAGCCTTTTTAATGTAAAGAAAATGTTTTAGAGATTCTTGAGGCTATGCTCTATACTTAACCATCTAGGCTGATGATTTTTGCTATCACAATGGAAATATCTGGTTTGGTATTTAACTAGCTGCATTGCTGCCAGAATTTGTTTTATTTAAGTTTCAATTTATTTGTTGCATTTTGTCTGAGTGTTTCTTATTTCCTGTGTTCGTTTTATTTATGTTAGTAAACAACTTTGATTTCATTGTTCCAATTTTTATATTTTTTTTATGGGTGGTGAGCCTGGTAGGGATGTTAAATATATAAAACGATCCTTCAGTTAAGATCAATTTGCAACTTGCCTCTGATGAAATCTGTGCTCTTTTAACTTTGAAATTATCATATAATATGTCATGACAAAGTGCAACCAAACGAACTTCATTTTGTCTTCTCAAATGGTTTGTTTTCTTTGTTGATGTCTTTTAATTAGGTTACCTTTCCCTTTAGGACATTGGATGAGTTGTTTAACAGTTTATAAGTCACGTGCTTCCTGTGGACATGGATTTTGGTAACTGTCTTTTTTGTCTGTTCCTTCAATTTTTACTCAATGGGAACTTAATGATTCTTAAGTTTATCTAGAGTGATGTGCTTCCTTGATTTTATTTAGTGATATTCAATATTAAACCTCATGCATGATAATTTGATAACCCTTTTTTTGCATTGAAGGAGAGGTCTTTTCAGACTAGAAAAGCATAAAATTTCATACAAGATTTCACTTGGTTATCTTGCATTTTCTTCTCAGATTACTTTTTATGCAAAGAGGATATAGTCATTTACATTAATAGAGAGGCATTCTTCTGTTCTCATTAATGTTTTGTTGGACATTAATGCTTCAAATTTGGAACAGAACTATGTTATTTGTCAGAAAGTGATCAAATCGAGTCGTTTGTGATAATTTTTTTATGCATCTGAATATATTTCACTTGTTTCTGCAGCTATTTGCTTATGATACTGTTAACAAGAACCTCTCACCAAAGCCTGGGGAACAGCCTAAACTCCCTATTCCTCCATCATTGATTGCAGGTGCTTGTGCTGGAGTTAGTTCAACCATATGCACATACCCTCTGGAGTTACTCAAGACTCGATTAACTATCCAGGTGTGTACCTACATAAACAAGCAAGTATTTATAGATTAGCATCTACCAAAAAAATAAAAGCAAATTTTAAGCCAAATCAGTATTTTTGCAGAGAGGCGTTTATGACGGTCTACTTGATGCATTCTTGAAAATCGTTCGAGAAGAGGGTGCTGGAGAACTTTATAGAGGCCTTACTCCAAGTCTGATTGGAGTTATTCCATACTCTGCAACCAATTACTTTGCATATGACAGTCTAAGGAAAGCATACAGAAAAATTTTCAAAAAAGAAAAGATTGGCAACATTGAAACCCTTTTGATAGGATCAGCAGCTGGTGCTATTTCAAGTAGCGCCACTTTTCCTCTTGAAGTGGCTCGCAAGCATATGCAAGTGGGAGCCCTCAGTGGAAGACATGTTTACAAGAATGTGATTCATGCTCTTGCAAGCATCCTTGAACAAGAAGGGATTCAGGGATTGTATAGAGGGTTGGGACCTAGCTGCATGAAGTTGGTACCAGCTGCAGGAATCTCTTTCATGTGCTATGAAGCATGCAAGAGGATACTGGTAGAGGATGATGATGAAGAATAGGATGAGTCTACCCCTGAATGCTAATACTCTCCATTTGAGACTGAGGCACAACCTCATACTTCATTTTTTGCATATTTGGTTAAATTATTTTGGATTTTTTTTTGTCACTGGAATTTTTTTATCTCCTAATAACTTATGGTTAGCAATTGAGAATGGAATAATGGTTTTGGTTTTTCTCTGTCTCTTGCCTATTGGCACTTGTCAATCAGCCTAGGTTTTGTTGTGGCTTAACTGATGATCATTCATTGTCAAGGGTGAATACAGATCGTTATTTATTCTACTTCGGTACAAAACGTGCTCATCTTCTATTGAAGATAATTTCCATTCTATGAAAATTTTGATGACATCTTTCAGTGAAGATAGAAAAATGGAATTTCTTTTTAATTGGATTAACTTCAAACATTCGTGTAGATCCAAAAGTTTGGGTGGTTTTAGCTTCCAGGATCTACAAGCTTTTAATGACACTTTTTTAGGCAAACAAGTTTGGAGACTCATGTTGAATGAGAATTCATTGCTGTTCCAATGTTTAAAGGCTTAATATTTTCCAACACACTCTTAAACTTTAAGCTTTGTTTCTGCCCAGGTTATACGTGGCAAAAGTATCTGAGGTGCAAAAAATATTATTGTTGAAAGGTACAAAATGGATTATCGGTAATGGAGAACGAATTAGTTTTTGGAATGATAATTGCCACTTGGTGTGGGAAGGGGCGACATATTAACACCTCAAAATGAGCTCTCCACAAGTGCCAAAGTAGCAGATCTATGTTTGGCACACCGAAGGCAGTGGAATTGGGAGCTAATATATAGAGTTTTTCATCCACTAGATAAGGAGAAAATCAAGAATATATACCCTTGAGCTAGTTTCCAACTGAACACCGAGTTATATGGGCTCACAGGATCAAGACGGAAAGACATCAAGTTTTATTTTCATTTGGTTCCGGAGACACAACACATAATAATGAGTAGTTTGTCTCCTTACTAAACATAGGACAAGTTGAAATTGCAGAAAAGGTTAGTATAATTTGCTGGAGAATTTGGGATCCAGATCTAGTCCGGTTTAACTTTCTTCCTTCTTTCATATTCAAATTCTATGATTTTTTTTCAACTTTCTCTTTTCTCTTCTCCATGTCCAACTCCTCTCTTCTTCTTCCTACTCCCTCACCTAATTTTCATATTTTTAAATGCATAAAATTAGCTTAAATTAACATAATTTGCTTAAGTAAATTTGTAAAATTAGATTCATTTAAGTTAAAATGGACTTGTTTAAGCTAATTTTACATACAAAATTTTTGTTATTTTCTGTATTTTTGATAAAAATAAAACTGGATATCCAATTCACTTGTTATCCGAGAATTTGGTACATAAGAAACAAATTTATTTTCAACAAAATGAAACCAAACTTGTAGTAAAAGTATGTTTAATTTATCTTTTAAAAACAGTTTGTAGTTTTTAAAAATAAATATTTTATGCTAATTTTTTCGTTGTATAATAATTTCCTTTTTATTGATAAAAAAAACCTTTATTGAAGAATAAATAAATTCTAATAATATATTTTTTTGAATACATTTGTATAATTATTTAACTTTTTAAATATAAATTATTTTATAAATAATTAAATAATTAATTCCTAAAATGTAACATTTTATTTAAACAAATATATAATTTTAGTATCTCACGAGAGACTAAAGCTGTATATTTTTTAATCCTTCAAACATTACAATTGTATAAGAATTTAATTAAGAATTTTTAAATTATTTTAACTTTTTAAAATGTTAAAATACTCAAGTGAAGGCTGCATAAGAAAAAAAGAGTACTAATAAAATACATTTTAATATATTTATAGTTAATTAACGTTTATAAAAAAACTATATGAGCTTTACTTTTTTATTTTTAATTTAGCAGTTTTTTATTTCTATTTATAATAAATTTAATTAATAATTCAAAATATATGAAAAAAAATCACCACCTTACCTTTTTTCACTAATATTATTAAAAAACTTTAGTCAAGAAATTACCTTTTTCCAGTAAACTTCATTTCAATGTTTTTAAAATATATAATTTGATTAAAGTTAATTTTTAAATTTTAATCTTTAAAATTAATCATTATTAATTATGTTATTATTATTAAGAGACGTTAAATAACATACTGCAGTTAATTTTGAGCATAAATTAATATCTTTATATAATTTTTTAAAAATAATTTATTTTTATCTTTAATTTTTAATATTTTTAACATTAAAATTTATATTTTTTTATGATTTTTTCTTTTATTCAACTTAAAATTTTAAATTTTGATTTTTCTTTTAAAAATACAATTCAATAAATTTAAGTTTTCATCTGGCCAAAACTCGTGGCTTTTTTTCTATCAATTTTATTTAAAACTTTTATTAAGATCTTCATAGTTTGAAGTGATAAAATTGAACGACAAAGGAAACTCCAAGAAAAAATCGTATTATTTAAAATATTAAAAATTAATAATAAAAATAAACTATTTTAAAAAAGTCATTAAATATCATTTTATTTCTAGAATTATCTGCATGGCATATCATTATTCTTCTGGTATTGGATTTTAATGTCATTTAAGAAGAAGGATTGACTTAAATACGTTTTGGAACATAAAGGTTTCCTCTTTGTTTTTCACTGTTAATTGTAAAGGTTGGGGCGCTTCTTTACCAAAAAAAAAAAAAGAACTCAAAACCCCGACAGAGAGGATGCGAGATGTTGATGATATCCATGAGCACCTTAAGAATCTGGTGGAGGCCTCCACGATGAGGTGGACCTACGCTATTTTCTGGCGATGCTCGTCTCACCCGTCGGTGTTGGACTTCCACGTCGGCTACTACAAAGGCACGGCAAAGTGCAAAGCGTTTCGCATTTTCGGATCGTCCGTGACCGTCACGGAAGAGGTCACCGACGCAGAGTGGTTCTTCAAAATCTCCATGGCTCAGTCCTTCGCGAACACCGAAGACTTACCTGGATACGCGTTCTTCTGTTCGAATCCGGTGTGGGTGACCGCAGCAGATTCAGATGGTTCGAAGTGGGAAAGGACCAAGTGGGGCCACGAATTTGGAATTCAAACTTTGCTTTTCATACCGTTTTCGAAGAAGGGAGTGTTGGAGATTGGATCCTCCGAAATCGTACCTTACGATCTTGAAGTGATTCAAAAGATTGCAGTTCTCGTTCATCCCATTGGCCTTCCTCACTTCCCCGTCAAGCACTGGGCTCTGCTCAGACAATCTCGGTAACCCCAAATTACTTTCATATTTTTAGACTAATATAATTAATTATTAAAAAAAATACTATTTTAGTCTATGGCAGTTATTTAATTTTAAAATTATAATAATAAGAATTGAAATGGAATAAATAATCGTTTTAATTATTGTAAATGTTTTTCACTTTAAAAAAATTCTATTTTGTTAACTTCAGCTTATTTTAAGAATTGAAAACTACCTTGTTTAGGTCTCGTCGGTCACTTGTCGGCAATAGTTAACATTATGATAAAAAGTTAGTTTAACTGAAGTGAATTTAAAAATCTCTCAGGGTTCGATATCAGGATTAATTTAGGGGTTTACTCTTTTTTTTTTTAATCAGGGATTAAAGAATATAACGTGTATAATGTTTGGTAAAAGTGGTAATTTACTCAATTAAAATGACGGATGAATGATGGTTGGTAATTTTCAATTTTGGGATCCAAAATGACATTTATGTAAATAAACTCTTACTTTTTTACATTAAATTAACAGGTTGCATGTAGGCTTTAGAGCATTTTTTTTCTTTTTATATTCAATCTACCACACATGATCACAGGAACGATGAAAGCTTGCATGAAAGAGCAGATAAGGAGTTGCGGAATCATGGGATTGATAGCTTTTATAAGCAATTAAGAGGCAAAGAGAAGATAAGTGATACAAAATTCTCCTGGCCCTTGTTAACAGAAAGCTCTGACAGAGGCACTGATAGAACATTTTCGTATTCACACGAGTATTCTGGCCCCTCATGAATTTATCATGTATAGTTTCTGTTAATCAAAATAATTTTGGTTTTAGACTTGTATGCTCATGATCTGAACCTAAATTATCAATGAGAGGAAGATAACACTAGCTTATTATTGGGAATGTAAAGTATTTAAAAACAATGTTTTATCAGTAGAAAAGAAAATTTTGTTGACATTTTCTCCTGTAGATACTGGTGGAGTTAGAGGAGAAAAATTTAATCTATTTAGGAAAGCCATGCTTATGAAATAGAAGGTTTCTTCCCTTGACTTCTTACAATAAATTCAGTAGCCCAGCAGCTGAAGGCTGGGCTGGTTCACACATTGATTTGACCTGGATGTAAGACTGATCCTCCCTTTCCTTTTGTGACTGGGTTTCATTGACACAGCTTTATCTATTTTTTGGGTTTCTTGATATGTTTGGTGGGAATTTCATATGAAGCTGCAGTGTTGTCAATGCTTTGGAAGTTATAAAGTTCTAGCTACTCCATCTGGCCTACACTTATGCAATGTAACAGATAGGATATGATGCTGGTGCGTTGCTATCTATCTGTCAAATTTAATCCTAATACTGCTAATTTGATTATTAAAACTTTGACTATCCGTTAACTTCTTCATGTTTTATTACTGATAGCTTGTAATATTTTGCAGGGCCATCTATGCTGAAACTGGAGATAGGTAAGTGATCAATTGGTGGAAGGTCTAACCGAGCAACAAGACATGGGTTCCAGAGAGCAATTGGAAAGGGTCAAAATGTCACATTTGGCAGTTGGAGTGAAAGAGACACGGTTTTCTATATAGCAGAGCTTGTAATGGCAATGCATGCATACATCGTGGATGAAGAGGAGCTTATGCCAGGATGTTAAGGTATCACATTCAAATTGCCATTTTGCTTTAAATTTCTTGTTTTATTGTTTTAGACGTCACTTTTTCTGATCAGAGAAGGAGGTAAGTATTCTTTACCTCCTTTTGGGTTATGATACAAATTCATCATCATATTACTATTATACACTTTACAAGGTTTACAAGAAAAGTGGATCAGGTCCTAAAAAGGAACATGCGGTGCATCATTTAAAGAAGATTGTGCAGATGACGACCTTGTAGATTTTAATATTAACTCACAGACTTGGAAGCTTCAAAATACTGTCACTGGACTGTTTAATTGCTACATTCCTTTTAATTTGTCTTTGGCATATATCAGTTTTTTAATTAATCTACTTTTCTTGTTATGTGGTGCTTTATATTTAGTCGCTCACACAAGCTATGAAATGGTAATATCATCGTTTATTTTTTGTGATGCTAAATTGCTAACTCGTGTACTCTCTTCACTGATGAGTGATGACGCCCTGTATATCAATTACGAAGTATTTTGTGTATGTAGGCTTAGTCTTGTCATTTGTCAAGGATTTACAATGTACTATTTATTTCAAAATAATGTTACCAATTCTGAATTGGATAATTAAATAAAAAAATTATGTTGAGTTTTACTAACAGTTTTACTAAAATTTATCCAATAACACATAATAAAAACTTATGAATAGTAATTTTCTATTGGAAATAATAATGCACTGTAGAATTCAATGCATTATTAATAATAAAGATCTTAATTTTTAATAAAAAATCACTATTACTTCATTTATTAACATGTGTCTTTGAGCACATATTAAAAAAATTGACGCGTATAATTATTTTATTTTTCATTGTTGTTTGTATAAAAAAAATATCTAAAATAAATGTTATTTTGTAAAGTTAGGAATTAAAGTGAGGTTTTCTAAATATTACAGTAATCTATACTTATAATTTGAAGGAATAACAACATTAAATCATTAGTAAATCATAATTTTTATGTAACTGTTATTCATGTTTAGCTTTCCCAATTTTCTTTTACCTTTTTAAATTAAGTTTGTGGTATACGGAATATATTTGACATATGAAAAGATTTAGTAACCATACAGTTAATTATTATGAGATAATTTTATTTCATTTCTTTACAAATTAAATAGTGATTTTCTTATATATTGTATGAGTATTCTTAAATTAAAATAAATTTTTTAAATAAATAAATGTCTCATTATATTATGTTAAATAAAATTAAATAAAGTGAAAATTTTTTAAATTTAAAATTAAATTATGAAAATTTTAAATTTAAAGCTAAATTATGAAAAATTTAAATTATTTAATTAACAAAAAAATTCAATATAAAACTTCATTTAGTATAATAAGAAAGAAAACTAACTTTAAAATATATTCTATTTGAAAAAATTTGTAAAAATTACTCTCATTTAAGACTGAATATTCACAAATTATATATCAAAATTGGTATCTTTAAAAATATTTCATATTAATTTTTTTATTTTCTTTTACCAAATATATATATATATATATATATATATATATATTATTAAGAGAGAAATACAAAAACTTCTATTAGAGTATTAGTTAGCTTCTATTGCGTGCCAGCCAGCCATACTTCTTCCATCATTCTGAGTGTTAAAATTTTCAGTTTTTTTTAAGATTAGAAGATTTCAGTTATCCTTAGACAAGTTTCTAATTTGATGTAACAATAAACGTAACTCAAATTTTGAATTTGAATTATTCTTGTACATATTAACTCGCTTCAGTTTTTAATAATAATTATTAATTGATTATCTTCGTTGAGTCATTATCATATTAACACTACGGTGAAGATGAACATGATATCTCAACAAGCTCATCAAATTTGTTTTCTAAATTCGTTCCGTTTTAATTTTTGCCTCTCTAAAGTGATTAACGATTAGAGCAAAATACTGTTTGTTTTCTTATGTATTATGTGCCATTTGTAATGTGTTATATTTATTTTTCTTTATTATTTAAATTTACTAGTATTTAAATCTAATTATTTAACTAATTTAGATTGAGTCGATTAATATAAAAACATTTTTTTTAAGTTTTTAATTCAATTGTATTCTTAAAAAGTTACACTTAGGATTCTAAATCAAGGTATAATAACGTCTTATTAGCTAATTTATACCCTGATAAGGAGCTATATTCTTAACCTCACTGCAATGATGTTTGGTTATTTATAACTAATTTTTAATATGTAAATTTGCAAACAATTTTAATTTAGGGATTACAGTAAACGTTACTTAATACCATAATGATTTTTACTTTTTCAGTTTTTAACAATTGTCTAATTTAGTCATTACCTTATTATTTATCATGATGATATCGATATTTAAAATAAAACAGAATTATTTTTTTCTTTTTTATTATTTAATTAAAATAATAATAATAAATTTGCATAATTATTTTTACATGAGTCAAATTATTTTTAAAATATATTAAAATAATATATATTTTTTTTTGTAAAGAAGCTTAACAACCAAAATAAAAAAATTCTAAGTACAGAGTATTAAAGATTTCAAGAATCCAAACTGAAAAAAGGAACCAAGATGAAAGGGATGAGAGAAAATAAAGACTCATTTTCGCAAGAATATCTGCACATTGATTGCACAATCGATTGTTTGTTTAGAGATATAATTTAACTTAACAAATCTAATCTTTTTTTAAAAAAATTATTGCTACAGATCAAAATAAATAAAAGATAGATAATAGGTTAAATAGGTAAAACGAAATTAATAGCTTTCTTAGAGTCACTTTTAATTTGAATACATTACAAAACTAATAATTTTAAACTTAAAATTTTTTTATTTCATATATTTTGTGATTTAAAAATTTAAAATATTTTAAAAAATATGATTATTATGTAATTAAAAAATAAGTAATTTTTAAAATATCAAAAAAATTAAGAAACCATTTACATGAATTAATTACTAATGTTAATATTATATTAAATATATATAATAGATAATAAAATTTAATAATATACTTTTAAAAATATAAATACTTTTTAATTTTTAAAATATTAAAAAAATTACGTTAATTTTAAAAAAATATAAAATATTTTTTCATGTTCACTGTATTAAAAAAAAAAAAGCAGTAGAAGTAAAGATAACGAGTTAAAGGAGGGAGGCGACCCGACCCGACCAAAAGAAGAGAAGAAAGTGAATTCCCGCTCGCATTTTAAATGCCCGCCTTTGCACTTACCTATACGGCTATACCGTAGTCGCATCTCACGCGCTACCCATATCTTTTACTCTCTGAACCGATAACAAAAAATTAGATTCACAATAATAATAAAAACAAAAACAAAACCTTAATCTTGTGGTTGGCGACTTGCATTGTTGATCAGAGAAGATATTGATGCGTTGTGTAGGTTAAACAAGTTCTACAGAAGAAGAAGAAGATCTTGTGACGATGATGGATTCTCCAGAACCTTCTAAGAAGAATGTTAGTTCTTCTGCCTCCACTCTCAATGCCACTCCTTCATCTGAATCCCCTCAAGTTCAAGTAAGTCATTTACTTCACTTCCCTGATTCTCACTCTCTCTTTTTTCTTTTTCGCCGCGCTTTTCTTTCATCTTGTTCTCTTAAGATCGCTTTGATTAGGGCTTTGTAAGCCTTTGGAATTATGCCTATTTTGTTTATTTGTTTATTTTAAAACGGTTCCGTTTTGGTTCTTGGTTTATGGCGAGGGCTAATTCGAACTGGATTTAGGGGTTTGAGTGAGTTTTGATGAAGAATTGCTCTGGGTTTGGATTGTGATTATTTTTTACGAGTTGTTTTATTGCTTGCTGTGATGATTGATGAGACTTTTTTTTTTTTTCCAGTTTATTGTTTGCTGATCATGTAATTAGATGCTGAGGGTGTGTTTCGAATTTTAGGAGTTAGTTAGTTCAGTTCATTTAATAAACGAATTATTGTGAGAAACTTGTTTAGAGTGATATTTGTTTTAGACCTTACTTTAGTACAAGTTCTGTTGTACAGTGCATTAAAGCAAATCTTTTATTTTTCTTTTTGGGTCGAACGATTGAAATTCAATGGCATTGACTGGTTGGTTGTTTCTTAAAAATTGCTTTGGTGATGGTGCTCTACTCTCTAAAGTTTATAAACTCGGTGTCTTATTAATGCATGAAGTGAATGATGAAAAGAAATAAAATAACGTTGATTATGTGAGTATTAATAGGTTTTGGAGGATTTCTGCATGTATTCTGTGCACATTTTGATGCCACACGTTTTGATTATTGGTCCTCATTCTTGAACTCTCTTTTAATGTGCAGAGATGTTGAGAACATTAGTTAGCTTATTGTATTTTCAGTCTGTTTCATTTTATTTCAACTAGAATTTTAAGTGTCATGAACAATAAATGAATTTCATGTGTCACCTTCAATTTCAGGAATCCCCCTTTTTAAGATTTGTAAACACTTTGTCTCCAATAAAGCCCGTCAAGGCTAGCCATGTGGTTGGACAAAGTTTTCTAGGACTCAATTCTCCACCGCTTGTATTCAAGTCACCACGAGTTTGTTACCGTGAAACACATTTCATGGAAAGGTTTGTGACTTCAATTTTGTGTGTGTTTGTTTGGCTATCAACCCACTTGGCTGTTTGTTGAAAAATCTTTCCATACCAGGTCTCAAAGCACTCAGTTGCTCACTGGAGAAACATCTCAGAGTGAAAATGGAGGCACCAGTCTTGGGGAAGCTCCTGGTGATTCCAGCAAACCAGATTCTCAGCAGCCACGGCCAGAGAGATTTATAACTGACACTCGGGAGGTTTTTGACTCCAGGAATGGTGCAAATACTCAGAATTGCAGTCCTCCATCATCTGTTGATGAATATTTGGCTGATCCCAGGGATGTTGATCGAATGTATTTGGCCAACCAAGATGTGGAACACTCTACTGATGCAGCTGAAGCATCATCACTAAGTGACTTAACTCAGTCAAAGAAAAGTACATTAAAATTTGATAGGAAAGATTGTCCAGGTGATAAAGCAGAAGACATTTTGCCTTTGTCAGAGGAATCTGAAAAGGGTCATCAAGAAAAGCCAGCATATGGGGAAGAACCTGGAAAGATAGCAGGGGAGAAAAATGACGTTGAATGGGCTTCTCAAGAGCACAGAGAGTTAGAGTCCAATTCAGCTTCAGGTGTTTTTGAGAAACAATCTTGTCATGATTCACTTCCCCAGGTAAACCATAGGTTCTTGCGGTATATATCTATAATGTTGAATTAGGGCAGTCAGTATTTATAATTTTATGGATATGATTTCGTAGTGTAAAGTGTTTAGTGTGACTTACTTTTTTTCTCTCTCCTTTTAATCCAAAGACATTTTTTAAGCTTTGGTTTGTGGAATATAAAAGATGGGATCATAACAATTATACACCTAAGTTGATGCCTGATCCTCTGCAGGATTTTAATGGATGTGAAGATTACAATAAGATGGTATCAACTTCACATGTAACTTCAGAGAATCTCTCACAAGATGGTTCTGAGGTAATCAAACATGTCTTCTTCTCTTTCATTGTAATCTTCTGGAGGCAGGTTAACTTTTAGTTGATTTTTGTTGTCTTTTCATGCTTTTCTTCTGTCAGAAGTTTCATTGTCTCTGTCTGTGTATTTCCAATATTTTAAAGGTGAATATATTCCTTCAAGGACAATGATTCTAGACGTGAATATGCTTCTGTTTTTTCTATCATTTGGCTCCTATTATCATCAATTTAGATTCAAGAGAAGAGAACAATGTTTTGTACATTGTTGACAGAGTCAGTATTTAAATTTATTGCTTTGATGATCTAGTTTGTTTATGGAGCTTTGCATGCACCGTGGCAGGAATGTTTTTAAGGAAATTAGCAGCAGTGGTATACTCAATATCTCTGTGACAGATTGGTAACTGTAATCGGATGTCTCTAGTTATAAATTTTCCCTCATTTTTCTGCTTATTAATTTTCCTTCAGTTGAGCTTTTAAAATTTTGTGGACATGCAGTAATTGCATTTTCTGAGTCAATCAAGATTGTTAAAAATTGAATCCTGACGAGATATCACATCATAGGCCTCAGTTTAGGGCATCTTAGTATTTAAGGTAATTTTCATTTATGATTATGTCTTTGAACTCGGTAAATATTTTGAACTAGGACTTAGATATTGTTTGCCAAAAGGTTTTAGTCTTTTAAGATGAAATTAGTGTTCTAGTCGGATTATCTGCTAAGCAAAAATGACTATTCTATCAGAGAATTTACTTAGGATAATGGGTTGCAGTATGATTATTAGGAATTTGTTTTCTTATTTTAGTTTGTGAAGATTTACTTCGTGCAATATAGTAATTATTACAATTCTGTGAAGATTTTCTTTGTGCAATATGTTAATTATTACAATCACTGCAGGCTAGTCTAAAGTACCATGGCATTCGTAGACGCTGCCTACAATTTGAGGAAGGTGCTTCCGATGCTTTTGGAAGTAACAAGTCCAATGTGAAATTGAATGCGACTTCAAGCGAAATGAAAACGGTTAAGCCGTCCGAACATATTAGTTCCTCGTTTCCTCAGCGAGGTAGTGGAAACTTCCCTGTGACAGGTCCCAAGCCATCAGGTATTGGGTTGCATTTAAATAGCATAATAAATGCTATGCCAACTGGTCGTGCTACAACTACGAGTATGCGGTTATCAGATGGTTTACAGGGGATGAAACCCAAATCTTCAATAAGCTTATATAGAGTGGAGAACATGAAGAGATCCGTACTTACATCTAATGTGGATGGGCAATCATTAGTTGATATTAGAAATGAAAGCCATGACATTGCTGCTTCAGTAGCTACAAATTCTTTCATCTCTGGGTCTCCCGGCATGACAGAACAACCTATCCCCCTATATTCTGTAAGTATGCATGAGAAGAGGAAACAAAGCCCTACAGATGCCAGAAATTCTGAGGAGTTCAACCAACCTAGCCCCTCCAAGAAAAAGTAAGTTCTGATCTTTCTACAAATTCATCATTTTTACACTTTATATGCTTAGGTGCATCACCAAATATTGCATTGCTCTTCAGGAGGAAAACATCTAGCACTGCTGATGACAATGGCCCTAAACGGTGCAACTGTAAGAAAAGTAAATGTTTAAAACTGTAAGTAAATTTTTTATGTTCTGTTATCTCACTATATGATTATGCAATATCAATGTTTTTTGATTTGAGTGCTTCGCAGTTACTGTGACTGTTTTTCTGCTGGACCCTATTGTTCCGAGTCTTGTACTTGCCAAGGCTGCTTAAATAGACCAGAATATGCGGAGACAGTTACTGAGACTAAACAACAAATTGAATCCCGTAATCCACTTGCATTTGCTCCCAAGATTGTACAATCTACCACTGATATTTCATCTAATATGGTATAAGATCCTCATATATAAGATTTTTGTTTATCTTTTGGGTTTCAGAAATGAATTGATAGTGTTGTATGCCCTCTGCAGGAGGATATAAATCTGACGACACCATCATCGGCAAGGCACAAAAGAGGTTGCAATTGCAAAAGGTCAATGTGTCTGAAAAAATATTGTGAATGTTATCAGGTTGTGTAGATAATGTCCATTTCTTTATGCTCTAAACATTTCACCAGTTTAATCTCGTGTCTGCTAATCGCTGATTACATTTTTTTCCCAATGTATGGAAAAGGCTAATGTTGGATGTTCTAGTGGATGTCGATGTGAGGGATGTAAGAATATCTATGGCAAGAAAGAAGGTAAGACTATTTAATGAGTAGCTATCATAAATTCTTAATGCAACCCCAAATTTAATTTAAATTTTGTCTGATAAGTAGAAATGATATGAAATGATGTTGGGACGTTTTAGTTTACTTAATACTCATCCTTCTGAGGAGAAGTGTTGAGACCATAATCGTTTTGCATTTTTTAATGCTATATTTGGAATTGAATTGAATAAAGATCCTTTACCCAAACCCCAGCTCCCCCTAGGACAAGGTGGCTTGCTTTTTAATATGTTTTAGTCATGATGCTCCATACAGTTATAACTTCTTTGCTTTATGATGCCTGTAATAACCACGATTAGAGGGGGTGGGTTTATTGTGAAAGAACCTTGAATCTTACTAATTGGTTACCTGAAGAACTATTTTAAGTATAGCTGTGACATGCATCTAAGAACGTAGCTCAATGTTGTACACATTTTTTAAATTCAGATTATGTTGCATCAGAACACTCTTTAAGTAAAGAAAGGGTGGGCAGTAGTGTTGAGAAAGGAGGATCAGACAGCACATTTCCCAATAAACCGGAAGCGGTAGCAAGCAAGACACATTATGATTTACAAGGCCTCTCACCTATAACGCCATCATTGCAATGCTCTGAGTAAGATTGCTTTTACTATAAACCTACATTTGATAGAATAAGAAATTGTCTTCCTGAGTTTTTTTTGACAATTTGTGCTTTTATTCTTTGATTTCCCTTTCTCCAACCGTCCAGCCAAGGCAAGGAGGCCGCAAAATCCAGACTTCTTTCTGGAAACTTCCAACCATCCCCTGAATCTGATGTTAGTATGTTCTCATCTCAAGCAAGATACACTGAATCTTCTGAAAATTTGCACACCAGTCAAGCACTTCCGGAAACAAATGAGATGTTGGGAACTGCCCCCTATGATTCACAAATTGACTGCAGCAATATGAACACGGTGGATCAGTCATCACCAAATAATTCAGGTGTTATCTTACCTCAGCTTATTCCTGTGTCCAACCCGGAGTCAATGTCTTGTGCTTCATCGTCCTCATCTAGAACATTCGAGAGGACAAATATTCCACAATCGCTACTTTCCCAAGGAAGTTTTCGCCAGTTGCCTGGAGGCTCTCTTCGTTGGCGTAGTTCCCCGGTTACCCCAACGACTAGAGCGGGGGAAACTCAATATTTACAATGTCCTGAATCAGATAGCAGACTCTTTGACATTCTAGAAAATGACACCCCTGATATACTGAAGGAAGCTTCAACTCCCATAACATCTGTGAAAGTAAATTCCCCAACCCAAAAGCGAGTTTCTCCTCCCCAGAGTCATCATCATGGGATCGGATCAAACTCCTCTGGAGGCTTGAGAAGTGGCAGGAAATTTATATTGCAAGCTGTACCTCCTTTCCCACCGTTGACTCCTTGCGTTGATTCCAAAGGCAATAGCGATGAGGATTTGAATGAAAAAGCCAAGGACAAAAAAGACAACGAAGCTAAGGACAAACAATCTCAAAGCTAAAGAATACCTTCAATGTGAGTGTTATACAGACAGAAGATTATATAATCTGGAATAGACATCTTGTCTGGAACAGGTGTGTTGACAAAACTGTTTTCTTGGTATTCTGTTTCAGATGTTTTAGGATATTACCATTCTAGTAACACTTTCTTTTTGACAAACAGGTTCCCAGGTGACTTATTTGTGCAAACAGCCATTGCAAAATTGAAGTTATGACTGCATCTTTCTCCAATATGTAATTCATCATAGTTTTTGTTTAGTAGTTTTTTCTTGCAACAGATTTTACTGTTTATTTTTTTATTTTTTTTTCTTTTTCCTATTTGGGTATGAATGCTATGACACACTCTCAGATCGAGTCTTACCCTCTTCACGGTAGGTTGGGCATGTTAATTAGGTTAAATAAATAAAACCTCACACTGAGTACAAAATTCATAATATGTAATGCTGCTAATCGATAGCATCTTGGTTGTTGGGCTTCTACTTCGCTTTGGCTGTTTAGTTCGTAGGATAAGGTGCAGTATTATATATATATATATATATATATATATATAGAGAGAGAGAGAGAGAGAGAGAGAGAGAGAGAGAGAAGGAATAGGTTATGTTTATATATATTATTAAGAATAATGCTAGTATCGTATTCTTTGTAATACACTCATTATTTGATAAAATCACGTGCGTCTTAATTTTTTTATTTTTAAATTAATATTTGTTTAGTTTTTAATAAATTTTAACTAATAATAAAGAATATTAAAAAATATTTGAAAATATATTATTAACATTCTTTTAGTATTAATCATAAATAACTTTATCTATTTAGGTCAAGTTATTTGACATCTTTCCTTACCAATATAACATTATGATAATTTTAGAAACTTGAAGATATCTACGATATTACTATTAAATGTTATGTGCACAACACAACTTGTCGGTGGAAGATAACGAAAGCTGTAGTTCTTTTAAAATATAAAATCTTCCCTTCACCAAAATCCTAAAATTATTCAGATATTTACAAAACATATTATTTGGAAATGTCCAAAGATAATATAAACTTGGATATATATAACAAAAATATAAAATATGCATATTCTATTCCTATATATTTTACTAAATATTCTAAACATTTTTAATCTTTATTTTGTGAGATTTTTAGTTTAATCTTTGAAATTTTGTTTTGTTGTTTTTAATTCTTCACTTTTGATTTATAGTAATAATGTGACAATAACAAAAAATTTATAATGGCTACCTCGTAGTTAATCATGTCAATAAAAATATTAAACTTTAAAAAAATCAAGAATTTAAATTTAAATTTTATAAAACTGTAGACACCAAAATTATATTGAAGTCTTAATTAAAATTGTTAATCACATCATACCATTTTCTCAATGAGCAGCTTTACACCATTGTGGTTCATGGAAGCAATGGCCGCTTAGTTTACAACAGATGGTAGCAGAAAAACATAAATAAGGAGCCCTTTTTTATTCACCTGATATGGATGACTTTAGTCGAGTGATATTTGCTAGTTCACTGATTCAATTGGTCAAGCCCAACTTTTGGACACTGTATATATCATTATCCTTAAGTTTGTCGTAAAATAATACCTTTCTTCAAGAAATTTAATAATACATGAAAAATAAATTGATTTTGAATGGTTATCTTGAAATTTGAAAAGATGTGCATTATCAATTGTTTACATATTTATGGTTTATTGACTAAATGCTTGAGATTGACTACATTAATTATTGAGAATAGGTAGAGAAGTTCGAAAATGTGACATTAGGAAAGAGCATAGTGGAGTCATTTTATTTTATTTTTTATTTAACAACGGACATTTTCTCTCTTTTTTTTTACTTAATTTATTTATTATTTTAAAAATTGTTTTATCAACCCTTATATTTATATATTCAATTTGAGCCTTTATTTTCAATTTCCATGAAGATATTGAATAATACTTTCTCTCATATTGTAACGTGTGTTTTTCCATACCGGGAAGCATCATTAGTTTTCACATTAAATCATTTAAATTAAAAAATATTTTTCTTGAAACAACTATTCAATTAAATGATATTTTAAGTTTCTTTAATTTATTTTAAAAAATTCAAGTTAAAATTATATTAATTTAAAAAATATTAAAGTTACAAATTCTAAATTTTACACTTTTAATATTAAATTTACTTATGCTACAAAATGGGTAATTAGTTCACGTAGATTTGCTTGATTTTCATCAAGTAAAATTTCAGATTTAAACGTTACATACTCTCTAAAACTTTGGTTGAGTTAATTCCGCCATATCGTGAATGTTGCTAAATTGAGCATGATGTTAAAAGCAAAATACATTTGTAACTTTATTGTTATATTATTGCATACTTATATAGCAATATTGTATAGAAATTATATTATATATCATCTTGCAAATATTTTTATTGTTTAAAATTTATCTTCCAATGAAAATAAATTCGTGCAGTACATTTACAGTGAAAATTTGACACCTCTATTGCAAGCGAGATAGCTAAAATATACCAGATCGGGTAATGCTATGAAGTGTAGAAGTCATTACTTAAAACAACACAAAAGTCCTCTTAAAGTTGTGTTGCATAAAAGCAATGCTTTGCTTCACCATTCACACATCCTTTACATATCTTGATTATCTTGGTGAGACAATTTGCTTCAATTTGGACTATACTATTAGACCTAGTCTAAGAACAAAATGGGGACCCTGGAAAAATTACTTTCATTGTGAACCTCATCACGTTATGCCATTTTTATTGATAAACTTAAAAAATTACAGTAGGGGCAAATAAAAATACTACCATCAAATCATAAATACTTTAATCCTTCAAATTACAAGTGCATATCATTTTAACCCTTTACCAAAAACTCCACTTTAATCCTTGACTTATAAAACAACATTCAATTTAATCCTTTTTTTTTTAAATACAAAAGGACAATAAAAAAATAAAACAAAAAAGGCTAATGAATGACTTTTAAAAAATTAAGGACTAAATTAAAATTTTTGTATAGTTAAAAGTCTAAATTAATGGAAGTAAACAATTTAAGAGATTAAAATGGGTGATATAGAAGCAAAATCTAATTAAAATTTTAGGTCTGAACGTGATAGTATAATAATTCAACAGTCATAAGCTTGAACTCTGGTTTAATGTAGTCTTCAATTTACATGCACCTTTCTCATATCAATAATCACAACACTCAATCATTTATTAACCTAGTAGACAGACCAAATTTACAAATTTGACCACTATGATAGCTGCTGACCATGACCAAGTTTACAAGCGGCAGTAGTATGAGATAGTTAGAGTGAAAAGTTTTGTTTTGAGTAGATTAAAAAATATTTTCTTTTAGGCTTTAAGTAAAATTTTGATTCTATGATATCTTGATCACAGTAAACTAATCTAAACATAAGAATACGTGCCATTCAACCAAGATATACATAACAAATTGGCCCAAATGTCCTTATATAGAAATATTAACCAACAGTGTCACACCTGAATTAGCTCTAAACCGCAGAAGTTACGAAGGTTAGGTCAAAACTTCATAGTTCAACTCAAATGCAGTTACCGACGAAATAACTAGGGGGTGTTTTACACACCCGAGCTGTCTCGGATACACTGCAACAACTCGACATTTATAACTGGTAATAGTCTAATTCTAGCATTAATATCTTTCACCATGCCGTTTCAATTTAATAAAAAAGAAATAATTAGACCTTGGTTTATAAAGAAAAAATATGTAACATTCACGAATTCCAGCAAGCAAACAAAGCACAAGGTGAAGTGAAAAAATTAAAGCCCTCCAACTCACTAAAGATGATGGTTTCACTAGATACTCTAGATAGAGTATTTCACCTTAGGCTTGAATCAGGAGAACCATCTCCGTATGAGACCAGGCCTTTCTTTCCATCTGGGCTTCCGGATGATGACCTTTACCTGTTGTCTCTGCTTGTTCTTCGTGGAGATTGTGATTCCACTGAAGACCTGGTTCGTGATAGACTCCTGCTCCGGGATGAGAAGTGCCTCTTCACATGAGGTTGATAAGCATTAACAGGTGAACGACTGTGAACTGGGCTTAGGCTTAGGTTGTATCGTCGAGCTCAGTAATGAGGGCTGCGTGATGCAGATGGTGTCCTGCTCCTTCTACTTCGGTACTTACATATAGGTTTTCACACACTCCACTTAGCATGCATGGTGCTATCATTATTAATTAGTGGCATAGGGGAAAGGGAAAAAAAAAAAAAACTCAGCACCAGAAAAGAAAGTGTCTTAACAAATGAATCAAATCATGATGAGAAATAAAGCATGCCTCAAATACCAGATTAACTAAGAAATGTATATGTTAAAGGGTGTTTGGAGGGAACCTTGGTGGAGTTCTTCCACGTGGTGGTGGGCTCTTATTACGCCTAGGGGAGTACCTCCAGTAGTTTGAGTATCTGATTGCAGAAAGTGTAAAAAAAAATAAAAAAAATCTTATTCAATTCTCAGTTTTACCTTATTTTGATGACTAAAAATTATATACAACTTTACCAGTTTACTTATCACGGCCATTTCTTCCATTATAACGATACGACCTCACAAGAGATCTAAAGGAGTTCCTATACCTTCTAGTAAATTTTGTCAAGATGGAGATCTTACCTAAGATCAGGAGGTCAAAAATCAAAAATTGTAGGATCATAAAATAGATCATAATATACTATCATACATATAAAATTATACTTAAACATATATATATAAGCATAAAAAATAACATATATAAGAAAATTAATATCTAAATCACATAATTTAATTAAACATAACTTAAAAGTCATAGATTTTAGATCCAGTACAACATATAATTAGTCAAACTAGTACTAATCTATTACAATAAATTTTACAAGCTCCAATCAGGATAATCATCCTTTATATAGTCATCTTTATCAATATCATCTACATTAGGCTCATCATCATCAGCAGGTGGAAGGTCCAAATCATTTATAGGTGTACTTGCACTACCAA